AAGAACCGAATTAGCTTGTGGACCTTGTTTCACAATACGGAAAATTGTGTTGTTGCCGTACGTGCCAGCGAATATATAATGACGATTCATATGATAGAACGGCTTCATCATTCGTAAGCCGTCTACAATAAATTGCATTCTCATTTGGAATTTCTGAAAACAATTGCGTAGTTGTTATTTTATTATTTCGTAAAATTACACAAATTTGAACAGAATGGTGCTTTCTTAGTTGTATTTAAATTTAAGTATGTATACTTACTCCTGCGAACATATATTCGTAAATATAAAATCGTCCACCCTCCGTTGTAACGATCACAAATACATCACTGTTGTCAATATCTGTGAGACAAAGTAATAAAAAAATTAATTTATAAATTATAAATCATAAAAGAAATCTTAATCGTAATAATAATAATAATAATCGTCAATTATAAATCATAAATTACAATTATTATAGAATTTCATGCAAAATTTTGTGAATATATTTAATATTTTGATAATCACACACACACACATACCAGCAGTGTAAAAGCATTCGAGTCCATTAATTGGATGCACATGGAAGATATTTTGATAATTGTAAAAATTACGAGATATGAAATCATATTTGTAAATGTTTATAACGTGCATGTCAGGATCATCTAGTAAGATGAAATGATCCTTTCCCTGCGACAGATTCTTCACATAACGACTCCTGCTTGCAAACGCTGTTATCTCTCCGAACTGCGTTTGAAAAAATAAAAAAGTTTAACTTTTATTTTGCAAGAAAAAAGAATTTAATTTTTAGATAAAGAAGATATGAGAAGCTGTAGATTAATATATCAGATTCTTCTATCTTGATTATATTCAAAGGATTATACCTTTTGTGTTATTGGATCGAATCTGTATAATAGAGATTGTGAAAATTCGGCGAAGCAGCCGATGAGAAGGAACACTTCACGATCGATTTTGAAGATCTGAAGGGACCAAGCACCGTTTGTAGAAAGTTTTTGGATTAACGTTGCGTTTTTCATTGCATCGTCCATTTTATAAAGTAAAGAGTTTGTACGATGCGTTGCGTGTGCTTTATCGTAGTATATCGCCAAAACTATGTATGTATCGCCTGTGGATTAGATTTCACATTAATTTTCGCAATTTTCCATTAACTTTCAATTTCAATTTTAAAGACATTTTTTATACTTACCATCGTGTTTAAACATCTTGGCGTCTTTTAGGTATCCTTCTATTTTTTCAGATATATCCGTGAGTATTTCTTCAGATTCTTTAGATTCCATCCAGGCGATTCTAGTAAACTCTTCTTCGGTTCTCGTCGAAATACATTTCTTACTGTTCGAAACAACATTCGATATTACATCAATGCCGAGATTGCCGTTTGAATTGTGAAAGTTCTTTACGATCTTTCCAAAGTTTTCTCGTTGCGTCCGCACCTCGTTGTTAGTGAGATTGACGATAGATTGATAAACGCATGGACACTCGTCTGGTAGCGAGCAAAACCTTCCGGGCAGTTCGCTGTACATATTTAATCTCGTGCTATTGTCGTAATAAACTACGTCGACTTTAGTAATGTTGATCCCAGGTATACTCAAGTACTCTTCCACTTCTAGATAAAAAAAAATGCTAGGCAAGGTCTTGGAAATTTGAGTACTGTACTCGATGTTTTTATCAATTATTCTCCAGTTTTCGTCCAAGTTTTGAAGAGTTTCATTCACCTTCTCTTTCAAGTCATCCACGGCGAAATGCACGTCTATATCGTTCACCAAACCAGAAACATTCATATTTTGAATCCGAACGTTCGCCTTGAAAGTCTGATAAAAAAAGATGATTAAAAAAATACACGATACCTGCGATACGACAAGTGATAAAAATTTAAGAATAGAGAACAGTTTTTTACTTTAAATATGCTTAAACATTAAACTCAACACTTAAAATTTAACTGTAAAATAATTTTAAATAAAACATTTGTATTAAATTACTATGACTCGCGTTAGTTTTTAATTTTCTTTTTCGATTTTTAAATCTTTAAACTTTGAAGATTTAAAATGCAATGTGATAGAAATTTAGAGAGAGAAAAGAGGTCTTTTTGAAGTTATACTTACAAGATTTCCAATGATTTCAACATCTTCATCATTTTGCACACTGTTTTTATATTCGTTTATTATATTAACATTATTGACTAATGGCGCAGTAACATCTCCGTCGACTATTAAATTTTCTTTGAAAGTTTTTGTGCCATATATTATCTGCACTTGATTAACGTCATTAAGAACGAACTCAGATGGACGAATCCTATTGATTTTCCCTATATTTGCATTACCTGAAAAAACATATAGCCAATAAGAAAATGTCAATTTTTTATATTTTTTAACAAATTTATGTTAAAAACTTTGCAAATTCTAAGGTAAAATTTTATAAAGTCATCTTTTCCTTAAATATCTTTCAAATCATGGAATAATAAATATGTAAAATGGTAAACTTATAAATATTTGTCAGATTTTATCAAGAGATTCATTCATTTATTCAAATGACGATTTCAAAGAAAATAATTAACATAAAATTATGAAGTCATAAATATATAAAATTTAGTTAAAACAAACCGAGTTTGTTAAAATTTTTATAAATTAATCTAAAATTATTTTGAAAGACACATTTTTCAAATTACAAATTAATTGTTCGTTATTATTAATAATTGTTGTAATTATTATTAAATCGTTATTATTAATAACTGTTGTATGTGTTATTAAATAACTTGTAATTGTTTTTCTTACCTGTCACTGTAACGACACCATTAAATTTTATATCACACGGAATATAGTGATTTCCGTTAAGAGTAATGCGATTCTTCGCGAATTCGTCGAAGTTTATTCCGTCCAAATTTTCTAGACGCACGTCGTGCAGCACCACTAGATTCTTGAACAAAATGTTGTTTGGCATAACATCGCCGATACGCACTGCGGCCTTGATAGATGCGTTGAGATTAGCATTGTTCACACGGAGTCTCTCAACTGTGACCTCCTTGAGGAACGTTAACGGACCAGTAATCGTATCCTCGCAATTCTTCCTAACAACCGAATCATTGAACTCGAGAATGTTCACGTCGTTGACTTTGGCGATGCTCACATCGCCGTCCACCGTCAAACTGTCCGCAACGAAATTTTCCTCGAAAAATTTTTTCCCGCTGATCTCGATGCGTTCACCGCAATCCATCACGATATCCGATATTATGCTCTGAATTTGGTTGATCTCGTTAAACAAACCGGTGACCGCCCATGCGTGAACACTTTTCGTGAAAGTCACATTGCCTGTGATAATTTGGTTTGTATCGTTGGTCACAGCATTGTTCAATAAGTAAGATATAGAGGTAGGATCGGACAAAGGTGTCTTCCAATTGAAATCTTTTTCCACCTTTAAAAGATGGATATTTCTCGCAGGAACATACAATAGGTTTCCGTATAACTGTAACATAAAGCAAAAAGAGAACATGTGCATCTTTAGAAATCTTTAATAAAACTTGATAAGATTGATAGTCCGTGATTGCACAAAAATAATAAAGCAGAATATTTTCTGATTAAATATGTTTAAAATTATAGTATTTTAAATCGGTTTTAAATGTAATTCTAATAGATTTTAAACCAATTTTGGGTAATTTATAATACAATTAACTTTAAATATCTTTCAGCAATTCTTTATAATTATTTAAAATATTTTTAGATAACTCTTAATTTATGTAGCATTTATTTAAATTGGTGATTAAATTCTTTTGTCCCTGTTCTATGTGCATTCAAAGACTATAATTCAGAAGACAATCATGAATTGCTAAAAAAATGATTTGTTAATCAGCATTCGGTGAAAATAAAATTGACAAAACCTGATGAATAAAATCTTCATTTTTACCTCGTTCACATCATGTCCGTTCATCTTCGAGGTAATTATATCACCTTCGACGAACAAATCGGTGAACGTCACATTTCCGTTGATTGTTATAGGCTTATTCACCCATATCAGCTCCGAAGTGTTCTGTCCATTGATGAAATCCACCGTGACGTTGTCGGAGATGACAATGTGAGCCGAGAAGTGTTCCGGTATCCTTTGATTTCGTGATTTAGAAAGGACACTGGCAAAGAAATGATTTAAATTTTGACCGTGAAGAGATTCTAATGTTATGTTCCGAACAATCAATTTCTTTATGCTTTTCTCCGACATTATCATAATATCATTTGACTTCGCCAGTTTCTCTAAGAAATTCTCGATTGGCTCCTTGTCCATTTGGATGAGCCTGAGATCTTTCACTATCAAGTCGCCGTCAATGACGATTTTATCTACATCAGACTGCATTAAATCCTTTAATCGCACGAGAGGATTCATGTCCATACCGTTTAATCTTTCCACTTTCAAATCTCGCACATGAAATTCTGGTATCTTTAATATTGACAGCTGATGATCGTCGTCGATGTGGAGTCCACTCTCGAAGCAAATCTCGCGGTTATTAAGAAGACCAACGCCAAGTTTGTCAACGACCACGCGATTCGCTCGAACGATGGGAAAGTCGGCGATTCTTGAAATATTTACTTGAGTCCCGTTCATAATGCCATCCACATCGATACCGTTGAAAGCCAGAGTGAGAATATCGTTCGCTTTAAGACTTTGCAAATACACTTCCTTCTGAATTAAAAATCCGTGCGATTGGACTTCGAAGAGACTGAGATTGTCGCTCTCGGAAAGAAACTCGTCAACGTGAAAGTTCTCAAAGTGCAAATTGGTGAACTCGTTCGGTATCTCCTCCATCGTGGTGTACAAAAAGTCGCTCTCTTCGAAACCATTGAGGTACTTTGTGTTGAGTTTGTCGATAGTTAAACCACGTTCGAAGATGGTTTCTCCAGTGATCGTCTGATTGGTCGATTTTGTCCAGAAACTGTCGAACATATCGCTCACATTCACCGGGACATCCTTTACGAAGAGCATCGCTGTCTTGCCGACTTTGATGTTATGAACATGCAAATCACCCAGTATCGTGACATTTTCGTAGATCTGAAGAGGCCGTTCTTGAGGTATTTTTATCATAGACGCATTTACGTCAATCACCAAATCCTCAGTGACACGAAGGTTCGCCAGTGTCAGTTTACCTTAAAAAATACATAAAAATTTCTCAAATAAAATGTACAAATACTGTGCACAATATTATATTATCTTAATATCAATTATTTGCAAGAAAAAAAGCAAATTTTTGAATGAAAAACAAACTATTAATTAATTAGTTATTTTAATAAAATTCAATAATTGTATTTATATTAATTCTTAGAATTATATCAAAGAGCAACTTACCTTTAATGATGTTTTTGCGAGACTTCCGCGCAACTTCCTCAATCGGCACTCCTTTAATCGTATCTGCATGCAAATGTTTGATCTCCAAATGTTTTATGTAAAAATCTTCGAAACTTTGATCTGTTGTTGTTGTCATGAGTTGATCAACAGGAACGCCGTTTAACATCGGCGTTGTGAGATTCTTGACTTGCAGAAAGTTCTCATATCTGAGTGTACCTGCAACAAAATGCAATTTGCGATAAAAGTTGCCAAAATGCTTTTAACGACTTCTGTAGAGTAAAAACAATTGAAGTTATCGCATGTCATACCTTTGATTTTCTGACTATGATTAATAATAAACAGATTGCTGATCAATTCATCGACGATTGTTCCGTTCAAGCTCATAATATTCAACCTCGGCACTGTCAAATCAGAATGCACTATGATAGTGTCGTTCGAATATTCGGGAGTGCTATTTGCAACAGCGAGTGCAATTTCTTCTTGACTTTTTAATGCCCAATCTGCAACAATCATTTATACAGCATGCAAAAACATGGAAAAAAAATATATATCATAGAAAACGCTTCTAGTTCTTCTCCAACTTACACTGGAATGGAATTCCACAGAGAGAATCAACTTCAAGGTTCTGCACGATCAAATTTTTTACGCGCATCTGATGTGGAAAGTATTGTCCGTCTTCCTGGAGAATGATTTTCTCCGACTGCATGTCGTTCACATATCGCAGGTCCACGTCGTTCACAAAATCCACGTTCACCCGATCGATCTCCAGCTCTTCCAAATACACATCGTCAACCACAATTTTGTCCGATATCGTTTTCAACATATCCTCAGTTATATTTATTTCCATTTTTGACAGCTCTGTCGTTTCGATATCTTGAATTTCGTGCTCAAGTTCGTCTAGAGCTTCCTCAATCTGATGAGGCGGCAAGATGTCCTCCTCCATCGCAATTTCAATGTTCTCCACTTGGCCGGATTGTAGGACCAAGCTGTTGAATGTCATTGGTTCCGAGATTGTTAAGTTCTTCGCAAATGGCAAGAAGTGTTTCCAGGAAGCCTCAGCCTCCATTATAGCCGGCATTCTCGCCTGCAACATTTGAATCACATCCGACAGGGATTCCCTTGTTACACCAGCATCTTCTACAGCGCTATCTGCAAGAGAAATTTGATTTCGAATCTTTCTATCACCAGAACTCTCTCTATAAATCTCAATTGTATATTTCTTCTTGGAGAATAGTTGTTTTTTCGTAATAAATAAAAAGAATTGTTAACTGAGATTACTTACCGCTTGGCACCCAAGTCATTGTGACCTCCCACTGTTCCACCCAGTATACATCCTTTTCCCGAATGGCCAATATCAAGATCATCACGTGTCCGTTCATCAACACCGCCATATCGACTATCTTCTGGTCATTTTGTAAATGTTGAATGTTCTCGCTCTTCCAATCGGACGTACTATGAGATTTGTACAACTGAATGATATTCTGCAAATCATTTTCATCACGATCTCATTTCAATTCTAATATTTATCGTCGTATTTACTGACTGATCTGTTCCATACTTACGTCGTGCGCTACGATCACGAAAGTATCGCCGTCCATGTTAAAAATATTTATCAGGCTATGCGGATTAATCTCAGGAAGGCTAATCCAATTGAACAATTCTCGTCCTGGAACGCAATATTGTTCTCGTCTACATTGTATTTAAAAAAAAAAAAGAAGAAATTTTATTTACAGAGAAATGTACCAACCGTCCCAGCAAAGCACGCTACTCGGTCCTAACTCGTTTATCATCAGCACAAAGTTGAAATCGCCGTGGATGTAGTGATGCACCGAAGTCGGTTGCGCGGTGAAGAGGAATTGTATCCTCGCAATGTTGCTATCCTTGAACTCGTACACCTCGGAACTGATGTGCGGAATTTCGGCGTCGCTCTTCACGAACACAATGATCGTCGATTGTCGATCGCTGAACGCGGTGACCGATATCGCGCCGATTGTCATCACCTCGCGGACGCTGTCCATGTATGTGCCGTACCATCGATAAATTCTGTGCGATTCAATCAAATTGCGACAAAGATAAAACATTATCTTAGCACAGCGTCGCTGCACGATTCAAAATAGGGCTATAAATATGAAATTTATTTATTATCTAAATTAGTCGAACGTGAATTCGAAACTCACACGGACGGCATAGAAAATTTAGCGTTATTAACGATGACCAGATAAAGTTGATCGTCTTGTGCAAAAAATACAGCGTCCACGGAGGTTCCTGTCTGTCCGATGTTATGGCGAAACCGCAACAGGCCGTTTTGCGTAATCGTATAGAAACTGCACGAACCAAGTTCGTAACACATCAATAAATAGGTAGTATCTTTCCACACGATGCTCTACAATATTACAATCAGCGTCTATCATCGTGTCCAAATTATAATATAATAAATAAAGGTAAATACTGCTAAATTTAATACATATATTAAAAATATATCTATTTTTTTTAAATGCATATGTACGGAAATAATTTATACCTTGACGAATTTGATGATACTGTATTCCGCAATCTGACCAACTTCGTGTAATGCCTGGTAGGTCTCGTTCAAGGGGGTCTCGTTAAAAGAGGGTGCCATCACTCGATTGCCGTCGAGAACGAATATCCCGTTGAATATATTTATCGTGAATGGTTGATGCTCGCTCGTCAAATATTGTCGCCATAATCTACTCCAGTGTACATTATACGATCTTTCTTGCACTGCAAATAAAGTATTTCTTATCTTATTATTAGATAAACAAATCATTTTTTTATCAGGCTAAATCTATCTGCATGAAAAATATAAATAATTGAGTGAGCGAATAATTCAGTGTAATCAATTTAGAAACTTTCTTAAAACAAATGTCGATATAAATTCAAGGTGTGAACTTACCCGGCGACGTTTGTTGGATATGAATCTTGATTAATTCTATCCTGGACTGTCGTAACTTTTCATCCAGGTATTTATTGAGATCTGTTCCGTGAACGAAAAATAACTGAAGAAAGATACAGCCTCCCAGCTGCAATATAATAAATATTAATGTAATCACGTATATCTTTGCCTATTGTTCACTCATATTCACATTGGAAAAAATAATGGCACTCACGAATAGAAAGCAGAATTTCATAGTTTTGTGATTTCAATTGCGGTATCGTGTGATCGAATCCGTTCACGGCAAAGGCTGTTGCGAACATTGAGATGAAATTTGAGAAACAGTCTGTTATGTTCCGGTGACCTTCTCTTAATCATCGTAAATAGATGTGAATGTAGTAAGTGTAAATACTCCTAAAATCGTATATAGATGAATCGGTATTGTGAAACAAATATACAAACATAAACGTGTTCTCATTGTAAAGTTAATGATTGCAAATAAAAATAAAAACAAGATAAAAGTTCACAAATGTGCTACATTGAAAAAAATACAATTATTTTTAAGAGCAGAAATAAATTAATATGTAATATAAAAGAAATGTTTCAAAAATTTGTGAGAACTCGGTTAAAAAATAAGGGGTTTATAAAAAAGACATTTCTACGCGTAATATTTACGATATAAAATTTACCAGCTTTAAAACAAATACCGTCTGAAATAATATGACAAAGTTGTATATCTATATATACACGTGTTGTGCGCGTGTTTTGCATTCATATTATGCACACCAGCATGCCCTTAAATATACTTTTACATATCGCGTCAGAGGAGAATAGAAATTAAGGACAGGTTTGGTAGGTTTCACTTTTAGTACTTGTTTTTGTATCACGATGTATCTAACATCCTCCTTTACCGGTCGATTGTTGTGCGTATTTCTGCATCGCATCTCTGCGATCTATTAAATTAAATAAAAGTAATTGTGCAATGTGATAAATATCAACGCTGGAATAACGCACATATGCGCCTGTGTTATAATATATTGTTTGCGTTGTTGTAAGAGCTGTTCCTCATTTTTTTTTCAATAATGTTAATGTGGTCTTAATTGTCGTTTCATAACGCTGATTAATTGATAAGAATTGGAACATCGAGTTTGAAATAAATGTAATACAGGTTTCAATATGTTTTTAGAAGAAGCCTCAATTCAACCATCAAGTATCCTGTACAACGGAAAGAAATTAATTTACTGTCATTGATATAACTTGTAAATAGATCGTCTGCTCCGACAATTAAATCGAATTAGATCAGAACTGGCACAATATCTGCGTCCTATTATTTCCTACATTTATGTAGCATTGGATCATAATAATGACCAGTTTTGTTAATGATAATAAAACAAATACTGACCTCTTAAGAGCTCCTAAAATCTAGAAAAGAAAAAAAAAAATATTATTATTATATTTTAATATTTATACTTTTTACTCTTAATTTTGATTAGCACTTACTAAATACAAGTTCATCTTTAAATATAGTTGCAAATAACATAACCTATTCCATTTGTTTATTCTATCTATTATTTTACTTTTTTTTTTACTCAAAATAAAACATAACCTCACATTTTTTAATTAAATTTTAAAAAATAATCACGTAAATTAGTTAAAGAACAGACAATTAACAACGAAAACAATTTGCACAAAATATAGAAGATTTCTTCAAATTTTTTCGTGCAATTACATTCAAAATATTCAAATCTTATCACAGTCATCGATCAAAATGAAAGATAGATCATCCATCCACATTTATTTCCGTTACGCATTAGGGTATATTTACACAACTTGCATAAGTGTATGCATATGTATAAAGAAATGGACTAATCATGTATCTGATGTGAAAAACACACTTCTAGATCTACAAGACTGCAACCAATCGCAGGCGATTATTACTCAAACCGTTTATAACCGTTTGTTTTCTGCCTTGACTAATCACGAGCGTTGTTGCTCGTTTTGATTGGTCGTGCGGCCAAAGCGACGCGGTGCGGCAACGAACGGCGACTTGCGGGCGCGGTCCGTTTCAGCGACGATCACTCGATTCTGACTCGAGTCCGACTAGTGTGCAAAGAGCGAAGCTCGTAGGAGTATTTACGCGCCGATATCTGCGATCGAAACTGAGACCAGTCTCGTATTCTCTCGAGTCGCCGATTTCCTCAAGCCTCGCCTGCTCGCGCCAGCTTTACGTTTTCGTTCGTCGAACGTGTTTCCTCGTACGGATACTCGTGAACGCCGGCGCGCCGGGAACGCGACGCCGCGAGAACGCTTCCGCGCAGCTGCGTGTGCGACCGAGAAGCATTTGTGAATGTCCGTAAGCGCGTACACACTTGTGTGTGTTTCATGTGTGAGTAGTGAATTTGTCGGGTGCTCGTGTACGTGTATGCGAACGCGACCGCGTGCGGGCGGTTCCCACACGACATCGTCCGTGCAACAAGTGTCAGGAGGCGGTGGCGGCTACGGCGGTTAACGGCGGCGGTTGCTTGAACTGCACGGTGGTGTGAAATACGTCGTTCATGGTGCTGCTAGATCGGTGTGCGTGAAGGATCGGTCGACGACGATTATCATCATCATCGTCACCATTATCATCATTACCGTCACCACGACGTGCTGAGAGGACTGTCACCGGCGAGGGCGCGGGGATGGGCTGCGCCGTGAGCACCACCGGCGAGAAGGAGGCCGCTGAACGGTCGAAGAAGATCGACAAGGATCTCCGCGCTGATGGCGAACGCGCCGCCAGTGAGGTCAAGCTCCTGTTGCTCGGTAAATGCCCTTTCCCGTGTATTCGGGTGCTCTCGTATCCCGCATTCGTGCGCGACGAGATTCGGATGGGAACGAACGCCGCGTCGCGGCCGATCGGTTCCTCGGCCGATCGGTTCCTCGGCCGATCTTCCGATTTCGACGTCCGATTCTCCGCGCGAGACGACGGCGATTTTGCATCCCTCGCGAGACGACGGCGAGGCCTACTTCTCTCTTTCTCTCTTTTTTTCGCACCTCGTCTCGCATCATGCGTGTCGTGTATCGGACACCGCACATTCGTCCGTACGTTTTCGAAGGCGCCGCGTAATCTATGATCTGTGGAATTGTGTGTCTATTTCTTTCAGCTATGCTTTCCAAGTGTTCTCACAGCTTTGCCATTTTGCTCTCTCCTCCAATGAGCGACGATTGTAACTATTTCATCGCGAAAAGTAACGCACTGTAAATATTTAAAAAATAGCACATGTTTATCATCAGGTACTACCTGCAGTAAATCTTTTATCTAAAATTCATTAAGCTTGACGCAATATGTCTGTTGTTGATGTAAATTTTCCACAACGCATTGTATGTCGATAACGGATCATCTCGCGAGATCTTTCGATTGTAGATCTGCTCGCTATTGTAGCTCTTATATACTTTGTACAAGTTTGAAAGTATTTCATTTTAATTAAAATATATGAACTCTGACTTTTTTTCCGCCTCTTCCTGGCTCGCAGTCCCACACTCGTAGGAAAAGAGAATTAGCTAATCGTGTGATTAATGTTGACGCAGCCGAGTAAATTCGAGTGCTTTCCTAATGTCTCGCAATAATACAGCCTTTCGGATGATGTGCTTTCGATTGCGCGAACTCGGGTGGCCTCTTTTCTCGCGGGAGCGCTTCCCGCGGTGTGTGTGTCACGTTCTACGTTCCTTCTACGGCAGACCGTACGTTCGCGGACGCGAAATTGCGGTACACCATACTTTTAATCGCGATCCGCTCTCATCGCTCTGTCGGAACTGCGATCCAGTTTTCCGCGAACGAGTCTTTCGGAAAAATTGAAATTACCGTTTAATATTTTCAATTATCGCGGCCAATCACGCATCCGTGAAAGTAATTAACAAATTTAAACGCACGATTGTCGATATAAATGCGAAAATCTTTCAAATTTTTAACGAAGAGTTTTGACTAGCAAACGAGTTTGTAAAAAACGCGGTGTTACAAGAAACTTGAATCATCAGCCGCACATGAATCATGAGATTACGTCTCTCCGAGATCACGCGAATTATCATCGTGTCTCGCTTAGGGAAAAATATATTGTTCTTCCTCGACGAGTACTCGCCTTCGCAATGATTGGCGGAAGTCGAATCAATCGAACGAAACTCGACAGCGAAAATATCAATGATTAATCGACTAATTGGATTCATTTGTTATCCAGCAAAGTCTCAAACGAGCGTATTGTTCTGTGTTTACATAGATTTACATTGATTCGAAAATAGCTGCGAGTCGTGCGTCAAATGAATATGTAACGTTAACAATACGTGACGGTAATTTTAATCATTATGCGAATGAAGGCTTGCAAATATTTTTCGATGAACTTGCTTACATTATTTACAGTCATTATTTAACATGCAATATACATATACATGTACATTGAAATTTAAGGTGCTGGAGAATCCGGCAAATCCACGATAGTGAAGCAAATGAAAATTATTCATGAGACCGGCTATAATAAAGAAGAATGCGAACAATACAAACCGGTGGTATACAGCAATACGATACAAAGCCTAATGACGATAATCAGAGCCATGGGGGATCTTAGAATCGACTTTGCTGACCCTAATAAAGCGGTAAGTTTTCCGCCTTCAAAAACATGTTGTATTCATCGAATAAAGTCAAACACAAATATTATTCAACTCCGAAAAAATTCCTTATCGATTACGACAATTATCTGTGACTTGAAGCGGCTTTCCAATTCGTTTTTAATGACTCATACGAGCTCCATTTAAAACGATTCACAGTAACTCTATACGAGACACAATTTGGGAAAGGAAGATCTGCGAACTTTTCACGTCGATTTAAAATACCATTACTTGTTATCAATTACGCTTCGCTAATTTCACTTCCTCGTGCCCTACTAGCATTAGATAATCGGCCTTGTGTTTGCGTTGTAGGATATGGCGCGACAATTTTTCACCCTAGCGTCGGCGGCGGAGGAGGGCGAGCTAACCGGGGAACTAGTGCTATTAATGAAGCGATTATGGCAGGACGCGGGAGTGCAGCTCTGTTTCACGCGTAGCAGGGAATACCAGCTCAACGACTCGGCAGCGTACTATCTTAATGCACTTGACCGCATAGCGCAACACAATTACATCCCGACGCAACAGGATGTTCTGCGAACGCGCGTTAAAACCACCGGAATCGTGGAAACACATTTCTCTTTCAAGGGTCTACATTTCAAGTACGTTTGCTGCACAGTACATTTTCACAAGGATATTTAATGCTTAATTTTTTAATCTTTAATCTAGCCAGCGTTGCTAAATGACAGCATTGTTCAATTATTTTGAAATGTGTGTTGAGAATTTTTTTATTAAAAATGTTACATTTTAATGCTTTAAAAAAGAGCGCGTTAAGTAAATTTTTTAAAACAAACGTTCATACTTTTTCGTCATGTACATAATTTTTTTTATTTAGAGTGATATATAAAATAATGATATAAATTTTTATCATTGATTAAAAAATATAGAATTTAAAATTTATATTGCAATATAAATGTTATTTCCTTTTTGCAGAATGTTTGACGTCGGCGGGCAACGATCCGAAAGAAAGAAATGGATACATTGTTTCGAGGGCGTGACCGCGATCATCTTCTGCGTCGCTCTTAGCGGCTACGATCTAGTGCTAGCGGAGGACGAGGAGATGAACCGAATGATAGAATCGATGAAGCTGTTCGACTCGATTTGCAATAGCAAATGGTTCGTCGATACATCGATCATATTGTTTCTAAACAAGAAAGATCTGTTTGAAGAAAAGATCACCAGGAGCCCGCTCAGTATTTGCTTCCCGGAGTACAAGGGTGCCAATACCTACGAGGAGTGCGCTTCCTACATCCAAATGAAGTTTGAAAATCTGAACAAGAAGAAGGATCAGAAGCAAATCTACACGCACTTCACGTGCGCTACGGATACGTCAAACATACAGTTTGTGTTCGACGCCGTGACCGATGTAATAATCAAGAACAACTTGAGTAATTGCGGGTTACTGAGTTAAACATTCCAATACTCGGTCAGTAACTTGTCGGAAAGAAAAAATTACAACGTGTTAACGACTCGTTACAAAATCACAGAAGAATGACAAAGAGACTGATGAAAGGTTCTAAGTGGCGTGTCGCGTCTCTGTACACGAATGCATATTAATTACGCGTCGATTTTACTCATACATTAGTCTCTTGAAAATACGATTATTACGATACTGCGTAATTTTTTATTTGATATTTTACAGTTTTTAACAAACTGTCTTTTTGTGAAATATTCTTTGCAAATTCGTTGAAACTTCTCGAACAAATATGTGACTGTTTAATTTATTATTTTATATATTTATATATTTGGCGATAACACAATGAAAAGTATTCTCAAAAAATTACGAACAAAATACTTGAGAGTCAGATATCAAAATCAAATGCTTCACATTGTCGTCGAAGAATGTTCTTTTGCGTACTGTTTAAAACGTATAGTAATTATTTTAGTTGGAGAATTAAAATCGTGTATCGATCTGATCAAATAATCATGTCTTTAGTAAGCTTATATTGCTTTCGTCTCTTAGAAAAATTACTATTAATCTTGTGGGGTAAATGCAAATATTGTCATGAATCAAAATCTTTTAGAATCTTCAAAATCTAGATTTTGATTCATGACAATATTTGCATTTTACTTCACAATATTATATTAATAATTTTTCTAAGAGACGAAAGTAATATGAGCTTACTAAAGATGTGATTGTATTCTCCAACTAAAATAATTACTATACGTTTTAAACAGTACGCAAAAGAATATTTTTGGTGACAATGTGAAACATTTGGTTTTGATATCTGACTCCCAAGTATTTTATTCGTTAATTTTTTGAGAATACTTTTCATTTCTCATCACCAAATATATAAAACCAATAAATTAAACAGTCACATATTTGTTCGAGAAGCATGTGACGAAAGCAATACGAGCTTACTTCGACACAGTATACGGAACAAAACAAAAAAAAACAGAACAAAAATGTCGAAGTGATAACGTTATAAATATATAAACTATATTGTACATCTACTCCCGATTAAGAAGAGCTGATAAACGTTACTTTGTTTTTGCTAAATGTATTTAATTATGCTAATCGAGAACTAGATAGTTATTAATTTAGTGATATTTCTCTTTGTATATAATTTATTACACTAAAAGCGATTATATAATACGTGGAAATGCATTTCTACGTTTCTGCTCATCATATTTACTCGCGTTACAATGGACAAATTCAGTGTCTCGACACAATTCTCTATGTTTCTCTTTTACGATATATAATGCAGATTAAATTTGAGAAAAAAAATTTTTATACAAGCTTTTTTTATATATCTATATACACACACACGTATTATTAGATGATAAAATAAAATCAAGGGCGCCATGCTCACTCCTCGATCTGCCAAACCAGATGTAATGACCTAATGATGTTAACATTAGTACAAGACAAGACAAAATCAAATCTCTTTATACAGCTTAGATCAATAAATGAAATCTTTTTTTAAGGGCCGACGCTTTCTTTGTTCCCGTCCGATCTCTCTTTATTAGATCACTCGATACATATATACACGTCCAATGTTACATCTTGCACAGATATTGATTTAACAAGACGCATCAACTATGCATGTAAGCGTGAAGAAATGCGTGTTGTTGAGGTGCAGGACAAAACCTGTATTGTGTGTGTATTGGAAACGATTATCTTTTACATTGATATTCACTCTTTTATTACACTAATTCACGTGTATGTATACGTCCACTTTTCCAGAATTAGAGCCACTGTTGCTTGACATAACTCAGCTGGAAATGATGAAAATTAAAGATCGATTAAAGAGGAATATATACAATTTATAGTAATTAGCGTTCTGACTGCCACGTACTTTCTTTCGAGTTATAATTATTATTATTATAACGTAACGGGGGGGGGGCGTTCCTCTTTCGAAGCGCCGCCCGCGGCACCCAGACATTGTCCATTGTGCCTCTGATGATTCGAGTTATAATACTTTTAGCAATGATTTTGCTTGCTGTTTAATTCGCACTCTCTCATATTCGTTATCCATGCGTGAATTACGTAGCAGTCAAAATCGTTTTACGTATCGCGCGTACATAATAGAATAAAATCGGGAGAACTTAAGAAATATAAGTGGGCGTTGGACCCCATTGGGACGGACGCTTGAAAGATTTTGATGGAATGCAAAATGTAGGAACTTTAAAATCAGAAGAGGATAAACAAACGTGCAATCGCACGTAGGATGGTCTTAATTAGCCGCCTTTAAAACAATCGAACCCAAAAGAGGGGGGGAATTCGGGTGGACACGATTACAAGGAATACCTTACACTCATAAAAATACTGCTGTGTTTGAGCCTATCCTTTTTCCATTCGTCGCGTTACATACAATTAATTGTAAAATTAAGTTCGCTTCTTGGTGTCTTATAATTACATTTTTTGGTACACTACCAAGATACTGTGAAGACTTCTAAACCTTCGAAGCGGTTACTCTAACATCGAGAATTACATCTTAAATTATTAGTATACAATACAAGCAGTGACAATAACACGCAAGTATCTCGCCATTTAAACTCTGATGATTGCTAAAACTTGTTCGTGATATATCCAATTTTACAACGCTTTCAACGACCTTCGAATATACATATTAAATCTTTGTGTCATGTCAACAATTATAAATCGTTTGAATCTTCGAAACAGTAGGCGCTTGCCGCGCCATTTGAACATTCGGAGCGAAGACCTCGTAACACCGCTGGAGTTAATCAACAGACGTTAAAACATGTATATTGCTACCAACAAGAAAATGCGAAACAGACCCGGTGAACTCCAATGATGGGTATAAATCTACGATCGATTATGCTTGTGGTTAGAAATCGAAAATGATTTATAATTATTTTCAACTTGATGAAAGTGCCATTCTTGAAGCGATCACAGAACAAATTCAGGGTTTCTACTTACGCTACGTGAATCTGGAACTCAGTTTGGAAGCTAGGACTCGTCGACTACGGTCGTCCCGTTGATTAATTTCATAAATAATCACACGTAGAAGAATGCTAGCTGTACCTGGTCAAGGATATCTATCTCGCGTCCCGTTTTTATTGAGGATTTCTGGCCGGGATCGGCGGTCCGCCGGTGGTTCTCGCTGGCACGGGCGGTGGGGCATTTGGCGGAGGTAGACTTGGCGGTGGATGCTGCGGGGGTGGCGGGGCTTGCCGGTGCGGCAACGGGGGTGGCACCGAGCTGGGCGGGGGTCTGCTCAACGGTTCCTGAGGACCATCCATACGTGGTAACGGCGGCGGCGGTCGATTCGGTACGGGATAGCTGGGCGGTCCGTCCAGTATCTCCTCGTAGATGGCCGAGTCGGGCGACAATCTCTCATCCTGCTGATTATCCTCCGCCTTGTCCGTGGCCGTAGGCTGCGTCGGCGAGGGCGTAAATTGATTGGGGACAACGCTGAACACACCCGCTCGTGGACCCTGCTTTCGTTCGTGAGCGGGACTCTTCGGTGGTGCCGGTCGACCCGGTGGCGCCGGTCTCGGAGGCGCCACGCCGTTCGGACTGTTCCTGCTGGGAGACGATGGCTCGGCGGCGATCTCCAGTTGCTCCAATCGTTGCATGGGGCTTCTCAACGGCGAGTTCGCCGTGAACTGCGCGACCGTGGTGTTGCTGCAGATCTCGATCTCCTTCTCGATCAGCTGCACCCAATCGGGCGACTTAAGCGACAGCTTCAACGTCTGACCGCACACCTGCGTCATGCCCTTCTTTGCCGCGGCTAAAGCGCACTGGCCGTCTCTGAACGTCACCCAGATGGTCTCGCCGACGTAACGGACCAAGATCGCCTCGCCTATGTGAGACAAGTCCTGTATCAGGGCGAACATGAGATTGTTGTCGAACACGCTGTCCATGTCTTCGATCTCCTCCACCGCCTTGACTATTATCGTGCCGTCGGGCGGTCCCAAGTCTTGTATCACCTCCTTGAACACTCGCTCGCGCTTCTCGGGATCGACGCAGTGCACATCTATGTCGATCGTCGCGATCACCGGCCGATGATCGCTCTGCTTCAATTCGGCCCTGCCATAATAAACGAGCTTTCCCGGATTCCAATCTGTAGGCGAGTCTAAAATATAGTGATTGATAAATACAAATGTATCTGCTAGACGTAACCAAGATGCTTGTACGATGGAAAACAAGACTAACCGATATCGGGTACTTGCTTCCTGCGCTTCCACAAGACTCTATCCGTCCACGCGGGTTGACGGCATTTCTCGCTAGTGTCGTAATCATCCGAAAACAGATCGTACTTGTATGTAGGGGCGAAAGTGATGGGTCCTTCCAAGAAGTTCTTGAAGACATTGCCCTGCTCTTGTTGAACCTTAAAATGGAGAAAGCTTGTCAAGTATTCTATCATTTCAAAAAAATTAAATCTTATATTATATAAATTGATTTAAAAAATTCGTTCTTTTTTCTAGATAATTATTGGGAAAAAATACAAGCGAATCTTTTATCAATCTGATTTGATGCAATACCCTCAATTGATCGTATGACAGGATCTGATCCCACTCGTTCTGCCTGATTAGTTCCTTCATCTCGTCTTTGTCCATGTCGACTCTGTAGTTGAAGTCACCGCACCAGAATACATAATCGTGCGTGTTCAGGGTTCTGCCCATGGGAAACGTTATCTTTCTCGTGATCTCGGCGTAGTCGGCGTTGCGCTCATTCACCTGCGATTGGCCGGCGGCGAAATGCGCGCACACGAAACAGAAGGACGTGGAATACAGGACGCATCTGATCGCCGCGGCGCCTTTGTTCCCCGTGGCACCGCCCAGTCCCGTTTTCACGCAGTCCACAGCAACGTCTCGCAGATACGGCGCGTGCTCCGGTCGTATAAACAAATACAGACAGACACCGACGAGTTGCTGATACGTCACGAGAACGTACTCAGTATCCTTGGACAACACCTTCTGCAGCTCTTCGGCCCAAGCCTTTGCGTTGTCCGAACTCGCGGCCATGATATTGCTGGCGTTTAAGTCGACAATCTCTTCGAATCCTATCGCGAATATATCCACAGGAGTATTGTCATGCTGTAAGGATACTAAGGCTGAAAAGAGAAATTACAAAACTTGGTTAAAAAAATATCTGCTTACAGATTTATTGAAAACGTGCCCTTTTGCGTAACCCAAAGTTATAAACAAAGTTTTTAACAAGACGATACTTACACGAAGATCTGCTTGGTCCGTCGAACAACCAATCGGAGAGAGACACATCCTTATAAACTACACTTCTAAAATGCTTCCCTCCGTTAACGTTGTAAGTACCAACGCTCACCCGAAGATTCATCGTACCCACGTATTCGTTATAGCGCTTGCATATCTCCCGCAAAAGATTTGGCGCAGCGTGCAGCATGTTGGAGGGCAGCAACAAACGCGCTCTGTCAGCCAATTCTGTATTCAATGTTGAACCTAATAATAGGATATCGATCGCCTCCTGCTTGTTGGAGTCCAATAAATTATTCTGTATCGTTCTAGCTGCTGATCTAGCGCCGTCCATGAGCTTAGAGCTGCCTTGAATAGCGCCGGTACCCGCGTATATCTTGCTAACTTCGTTGCCATTGTTGATCCACATTTGCCGAAACACTTCTTCGAATCTCGAGACCATCTGCTGCTTCTCCATCAGCTTCAGCAAACCCATCTGCTTAGCCAGCATCTCGAGTGCGAAGAACGTTTGCACGCAGTTGGTTCTGTCCAAGCAATCCAGACAGTTCGTCCTGATGGTGCCGGTTTGTTCGAGGATCACGGTATTGCCAGCCGCGTAGAACAACGAGAACGACTCCAAGTACTTTTCAACCTTCGCCTTCAGTTTCAACAGATTCTTCATGTTTCCACCGCGACATTCCTGGTGATAATCGAATAAAACATGGGGTACGTCCTTATGCTCCGACATACTGTGATGCGTTTGAAACAATTGACTCAGCATAGCTTCCCCTTCTTTGCTGCCGATCAGGCTAGAGCCAAGAAGATTGACAATCACTTGCTGGCCATACCGCTGCTTAATTATCTCTAAGTGCCTGTCGAAAGCGGGAGCGGAGGTCTCGAACCCACGTGAGATTTTCACTTTATGAGACCCAACTTGTACACCAGGCTGCTCCCAAAACAGCGGCACCGAGCCCCTCGTTTGAACATAAGATGTCACTTCGTTGTCTATGTAGATCACCTGTTCTGTCTCCACGAAATTCGCCACGTGTCCATCATCGTTGGTTCCTCTAACGTTAAATCTAGAAAAATTATTTCATGCAATTTCAGTAGAAATGGATGATGTCATTTTTAATCAGTCATTTTATATTCTAACAGAGAGTTTATATCAATCGGAATGTAAGTGAGATTATATGTACATTAGCCATATGTTTATCTCGCGTGACACTTTCCTCTTATCAAATATAGATACACTTTTATCAAATATAGATATTTTTGCAGACAAACATGCAGATAAGTGTATTTTTTTTTTATCAAATAGAGAAAAGTATTCTCACCTAGTACCAGCACGTTCACAACTCAATCGAGACATAAGCACTGCTCGAGCTTGTCTATGTCCAACATAGACGGTCCTAATTTCTACACTACCACACATTGCTTTTAACAACCACTGAGTCGTGTCTACTCCATATCTTAACAGATGAATATGCAACATTCGATTCCTGTAAAAATAATTCATAAGATTAGATCTCCATCTTTTAACTCCATCTTGTGCAATTATATTATAAAATTTAGTTATTTTTTTTAATTAAAAAAAATTTATATTGCAAAAACTGCATTATAAAGATTTTACAATGAAATTATGTTGTACTGACCAGAAGAACCTATTATCTGTAATCGTTGACTTGCATCTTCTTTGAGCGCTTAAAGTAATATCAAGTGACTCTTGGCCAGAAGACCAGGAAAAGTAAAATGTTCCAGAATTTAAGACTTTTCTGACTTCGGACACACGATCTTCTGTCGCCTGGCTATAGAACAGAGGCACACAGCTGGTTTGTGTTATTCGGAAGACCTCAGATTCTCCAATCTTTCCCACGGAGAAACATCCAGTAACCAGGACAAGGTATAATAATGTGTTTTCTCCTGCATTCAATTGCAGGACACCCAGGCATCCATATGCATCCAGCAATTTTGTATACTTTGGCTTCAAAAATTCGTGCTCCTCAGGAGCTAATAAATCAAGAAAGAATCTTTGATTTTTAACTATACTTTCATAAATATTTCTATTGCCTACAATTATAATAATTCATAGAAAGAAATTGTTGAAGATAAAAACAAAAAATGATCATTTTTTTGTTTGTTTTATACACTTGGAAAAGAAAACGTAAAACAGAAATGACATAAAGCTGTACAACTGTACAGAGTTAAGATGTGTTTATCTTTAAGATAAAAAACAAAGACTAAACTCCACTTTACATTCCGAAATCACTCAAAGCTGTCACAATGCCTGTTACTTTGAATTGCACTTTCTACACCTCATTCTTATCTCTCTCTCTTTCTCTCGTAAACATAAATATACACCTGTTTTATTTCAAACGTAACGAAAGTATAAGAGTACGGATGAAATCGGTAGAAATAACTTCGTCGACGTGAGCGAATTGTCTCAATCCGGTACTTACAAAGAACGGCAACTGCCTGCGATTCGAAGAGTAGCGTCTCCTTACGGTTCCGCTGCTCGAGTATGACCGAGTGCGGTTTAGGCGAGTCTAGCTTCTCGTAAACGCGAAAGGCCTTGCCCATCGCCATTGTTGCGAGATTGTTTTCCTCCGCTGTGCGCGGCAACGATTCGGCGACGACGATGTTTTAAGAGAGCGTGACAGTTCCGTCCGTCATACGCCGCGTTGTGATCGCGGCGGTGAGACTATCCAGTACTCACTTGACGTCTTCACCGTGGCTGGCGGCGATTGAAAACTGAGAGCCTCCGCCACTGTCCACTGTCGCCACTGTCGCAATCATTAACAATATACCATTGAAGATTGTCAGCTTTACGGAAGATTGCGTACCTGGGAAAGTTCATGTTTACGCCATTAGGAAAGGTTAATGCCGATTCACAAGTAAGCAAGAACAGCAGATGCTATCCTAACGGGAGCGCGTTGCAAAGCGACGCTATTTAAATATCTTTATTTAATAACACATTTTTTTTATTTAAAATAAGAAGTCTGACTTATCGTTGAATCGTACTACGTAAAAGTACGTAGGTACGTACGGTAAAGACGAATGGTACTGGAAGTGTTGATCGCTCGGTGTTGCTTGGTCATCTCTGAAAACACTGTGCGTGACATTTGCTCCCAATTGACATTGCTGATTTCCATAATTTTTGTACACTTTACATTGTACCTTCGAAAATAACTGATATTGAACTGTAAAATGTTTATGTTAATAAAAAATGGATTCCGAAAAATTATGGTAAACTATTTTTAACACGTTACACATGCGTATTGTACGACATATGTTCGATATTTAATTTTTGAAATGACACGTATGTTTGTGTTTTTCTTCCTTTCTTTGTTATGTTTATTATATTACAGGTAAGCCCTGGAGGAGTGATACTAACACATCAATTACCTAGGTATTTGTGTTTTGTTTTTGCACTACTAATTATTAACAGTTATGTATTTTTTATTTTACACTTTGAAGACTTACATTATTATAGCTGAGAAATTAACTACAATGTCATGATAGTCATGAATAATACATGAATAATAATAAGTAATGTAAAATAAGAATTTTAAATATAGTGGTTTAAAATTATAGAACAATAATATATACTTTTGTTTCAGGAGTACTGTGGCTTGGTACGATACTCCTGAATGTCAATATATACAAATGAGTAAAGTCCCAACATTGCATTTTCAAGACGTCTTTACCAAGATTACCAATACCAAAGCTTGAAGATACATGTCAGAGATATTTAAATGCCCAGAAGCCTTTATTGAATGATGAAGAATTAAAGCACACATCATCCTGTATTTCGAGATTTCTTGCCAACGAAGGACAAAGTTTGCAGAAGCAGCTACTACAAAACAATGCTGAAAATCCACATACTAGTTACATTACCGAACCATGGTTTGATATGTATTTACGAGATCGCAAACCTTTGCCAATTAATTATAATCCTTTCTTAGTTTTTGTACCGGAATCTGATTTAAAGTATGATGCACAATTGGTAAAAGCAACTAATCTTGTTGTGTCATCGTTGAGATTTTTGAAGTCTCTTAAAAATAATATTCTAGAGCCAGAAGTATTTCATATGAAACCTGAAAAATCAGATACTCAATTATTTCGGAATGTTACAAGACTGATTCCACCTCGCTTTAGCTGGTATGGTGCTTATTTATTTAAGGTAAGAATTACAAATTTTGTCTATATGTAATATATCAAAATTATGTGATTGAAAGAGATAATAATTTGTAAAAACTTTATGTATAAGAACAATTTTTTTATTACAGGCTTTTCCATTAGACATGTCTCAGTACAAGAATCTATTCAATACTACTAGGATACCAGAAATAGGGAAAGACAGAATTTTTCACGAGCCTTCAGCAAAGCATTTACTTGTACTGAGGAAAGGTCATTTTTACACTTTTGATGTTTTGGATGCAAACGATTGTATTCGTAGTCCTAAAGAGATAGCTGCAAGTTTAAAGGCCATTTTAGAAGATGATAGGCCACCAAATAAACATCCTGTAGGCGTCCTTACAACTTCAGAAAGAGACGAATGGGCGCAAACTCGGTCACATTTAATTGAAACGGGAAATCAAGAAATTCTCAAGAAAATTGATTCAGCTATATTTGCAATGATCTTAGATGATGAAGTTATTGGCACCGATTATAACAAATTAATTAGAACGTACCTACATACCGACGGTACCAATCGATGGTTTGACAAATCATTTTCTCTTATCGTTTCTAAGGATGGCTACGGTGGAATCAATTTTGAGCATTCGTGGGGTGATGGTGTTGCAGTGCTTAGATATTTCCAAGTGAGTAATCCACTATATTTTAACTTCAAACACATATTGTTAATACAACTTGTAAACTTTTAAGAATTGTAAAAAATATAAAAAATTGTGTTATTTTTTAGGATGTGAAAAGCGACATATCAGAAAAACCTAGATTTCATCCTAATGAAGTGGATGAACTTTCCAAAGAAAGTACAAATATTGAGAGACTACAATTTTCTATAGATGCAAAAAGCGAAAGTATTATAAATCAGCAGAAAGCAAAGTATCAAGGATGGATCAATCGATTATGCGTTGATCATATAATTTATGAAGAATTTGGTAAAGAACAGTGTAAGAAGCTCAGGGTAAGTCCAGATGCAGTGATGCAGCTGGCATTCCAATTGGCTTTGTACACTTTAGAAGGCAGATTGGTACCAACTTATGAATCTTGCAGCACAGCTGCATATAAACATGGAAGAACAGAAACTATCAGACCTTGTACATTAGAAACTAAAGCAATCTGCGCTGCTATCACACAGAAGCAAATCGAGCTTTCTAAGTCAGAGTTGAAAAGAATGATATTGGAATGTAGTAACGCTCACAATGTACTTACGAAAGAAGCTGTAATGGGTAATTAGTTTAATTGTCGAGAAAATTTCGAGAATTCAGCAAGAAATTAAGTTGTTTGACGAAACTGTTTTATTTTACAGGCCAAGGATTTGACAGACATTTGTTTGCTCTGAAAAGATATGCAGAGAAGTCAGATTCTGTTAAGCCAGCCATTTTTCAAGATCCGGCATATGATGCTTTAAATTATAATATACTATCCACATCCACTTTATCGAGTCCAGTTGTAATGGCCGGTGGATTTGGACCAGTGGTACCTGATGGTTATGGAATAGGGTGAGCTATTTTTGAAAATATAATTGTTAATATGTTGCTACATTCTATAAATTACGGCTTAAACAAAATTAATATTATTTAATAATTAATAATTATTTTTTAGATATATGATCCAAGATAAACGTTTGGGTGTTGTAGTGACAAGTTACGAAGGTGTTCGTAATGCCAGCAAATATGTACAAACATTAGAACATGCGTTCAAGAATATCCATGATGTGTTACATGCATAATATTGGGTTTTAATTTTCGTATATTTTTGCCTAGATTGATTATAATCAATAATTATTGATTATTAATTATTATTTCACCAAAATCATTGATCATTATACAACTGGTATATAATTATTGTATAGTGTTATCGCATATATATATATATACAAGAACTTTTATAATCATGTTATTGATATCAGAGATAGATATATGTTACCATCCTTTTCTGAAATTATATAATAGCAATAGCAATAAACATCTATCTCTGATAATCAGAGGTATTTATACAATTGTTGAATAAATATTTTTCACAATTTTGAAATGTGTGATTGATAATTTTTATAACCGTTTTCAAAAATTTAGCTAGTGATATATGATTAATTATATAAAAATATGTTATTACAAATATTCCTCTATTATATATACGCATTATTGGACCCTTTAAAAATAATTCTATTAAAATTAATGGCTCTTTATTGTAGAGAATGTGAAAGAAGTCAGATGTGCTATCAATGTAGACTTGTGTGATAACATTTTTACATACTTTTATGTGTATTATATTAAATAAGAATAATGGAAACGAGTGTCAATGAGGAAGACGAAGATGTCGTGATCCAAGTATGTAAAATTGATTTTATATGTACATTTATATTAAGTTTAAAGCACCAAATTGCCACCAAAAACAAAGAAAAGGTTATGTTTACATTTTTACATATAAATCTGTCTCTTTTCTATATGAGATTAAAATTAAAAATACTGAAAAAAATTGCACAATGTGCATCTTATATTTTATTTTGATAATATCGTTTGATAACATGGTTCCTTTAATTTTTAAGTTTACAATCTTCCACTAAAAACATGTATCAATTTTCAAACATTGAGAACAGTAAGAATAACAATAGAAGATACTTATACAATTAATTTAAAACTATAAGCAATAGTATTTTTCAAGAAATTTGATATTTTTACATTGCAGGGTAGTGCCCTTCATGTACATTTATCAAACTTAGGTTATGCAGACTTTGAAAGTGTTTCTATACCCAAGAGAACATATATTGAAGAAAAGCATTATTTAAATATAGTAAGATTTATATATTATTTACAACACATTGCTACATACATTTGATGAAATATACTTTACATCTACCACTAAATATGTGACTTATTTTTTCTAGGATATTAAAAGCGCTATAAAAAAGATTTGTATGAAAATCTTTTCTTTTTATTCTTGGATAACACAGGTACAAATTTTTTTTAAAGAACATATAATTGTACAATTTACATCGAGTATAATGTATCTTATAATTTACTTTTTACAGGAAAGAAGTATTTCTGAAAAGCAATTGAATGTTATTTTGAATGCAGAGGCTTTGTTGAATGACCATTTTTCTATAATTAACAGTTTTCTAGCCAAGGGCAATAACAATTCTAAAAAGTAATTATTATAAAGATTACTGTTATTTTTATAAAACATTTTTGTATTTATATTTATGTAATATGATTATTTTTATTCATATGTAGTTTGTGTGACAAAATAACTTATCAAATATTTTATATATAAATGATTAAAATTGATGTTCTATAATTAAATTGAAATGTTCTATTTTGTTTCAGAATAACATTGCAAGAAATAATTGTGGCTGGAGCTGTAATCTCTTCAACGTATTTTTCAATATCTAAAAATAAGATATTATCAACATTATTTGCCTCATCTGTAATTGGCTGTGTCAGTTCTATAAAATATTTGCGTTTTTGTGCAAATAGAAATTTACAAAATCTTATATTAACACAAAATGAACTTTTAATAATGTGTAAAGAAGGTCTGAAAATTTTACAACTTAATTATACGATAAAATTGAACTCTGAAACATGTCTTCAACAATTTTCGTAAGTATACAAATTTAAATAAAAATTTTTTAAAATATATCAGTATTCCACACAAAGTGTAAAGCAAACTTATTATTTTTTTCTTTTTTTATTAGACATTTTTTAGGAGAAAAGTTAAGGTATCTACAACTTCTAGCAGAGACGTTAACAGAATTTATGGAAAATATTTCATCTCAATATTATCATTATTCCTTATCAATTGCAAAGTTGCTACCACCAAATATACTTAATGAAGAATCATTTACAGAATTTGAGGATGATTTATTTAAAATATCTGGTGAAGTCAATTATCAAGTATTAAAGGTGAATAAATAATAAAATTAAAAAATTATTAAACGTATATGATTAATTTATATAATTTTTAATGTTTTTTTATAGAAATTTTATCACATCTATCTTCTAGTTCAATCAGAAATGCTCTATTTATTAGCTATTGCATATAATAGTAATACTTGGACACATTCTTGTCAAAAGATTCCTGAAATAAAATTAGCTTATATAATTCATATTTTAACTAAAAATTTAGATCTATATAAAGTTAAATTGGTAGAAATTTTAAATGCCTATCGTACTTGTGAAGCAAAACCAATTCGATATACGTAAGTTGAAATATAATGCTTACTTTTTTTTATACTCTAATTATAAAAAAAACAACACATATTGCATGAGATTTCTTTTAGGACAAGGGACAGAGCTAAATGGCATGATCCAACTGTTCAATTAGATTTGGCGTCATATAAACTGCAATTAGCTTATAATCAAATATTTTCGACATTTAAAGATATTGATAACTGCATCATTCAAGACACACATATTGATAATGAAACAGCTGAGAGTCTGTTGCAGAAGTTGAATAAAGCATTTAAAGAAGTTGATACAGCTAAGAATTTGGCAGAGTTTGTTGTTTTACTACTCGCAAGATCAAGATTTAACAATCTAAGAGGCAATCAACCCGTAACCGATAGTACTACAATAAATCAGAATACCGATTTGCCTGTAATAATTGATTCAGATCCCGAGATTCTTGATGAAGTATTCGAAGAATACATTAAGGAAGAATTTTGTCCTTCACAGGAAGAAACAGATGAATACTCATTAAAGCAACAGAAGCTGGATAAACTTTTGGTAAAAAATTTTATGAGTGAATTGAAAGAAGCTTTAATTGATAAACATAAAACTATGTCTGAACGAGAGTCTAAGGCACTACAACGTATATATAAAAATGTATCCAAGGATCTTATATTGAATACTGAAGATGAGGTAAATAAAAATTGCCGTTTCATACCTGCTCCACCGCCAATGCCTCCTTATTATATATGGTCAACACTGTCGAATAACGAAGAGCCTAATACAAGTTACAAAAAACTGATTTCTTCCAATTGTAAAGTTGAGAATGCTAATTCAATTGTTCGAGAAAAGATTGAGGCGTCAGATGAACAAGATGATTTTATAAAAACACTGAAACACAAAAAGATTTTTAATATATCATCCAATACAGCCTGTGAGAACAATGATAGAGATTCTCTTATATCTTTGCCACAGATTCTTCTTGAAACTCAAGTTAAGCAATTTGATATCAAATTACCACCTGCTTTTCTGCAGGAAGAAACATTTATAGGAAGTGGTGAAAATTCTGAAGAAGAGATCGCAGACAATGTAAGTGATAATGATGAATATAATGAAAATTCTCAACAATAAAGCAAAGAGTTTGATTGATATTTGCGACTGGATTGTTTTCTATATTTCTCTTTCTAATAGCTATCTTAAAACTTATCTAATATAGCGTCTTGCATAATATTGTTTCGGAAGTAATTAATATAAATTATGTTTTCATCTATATTGATTTTGTATTTAAAATTTCAAATATTTAATTATGCGTATACAGATTTTCGACTGTTTCACATTTAATTTTTAGATCTCAATTTAAAACTAGTTTGAACTAAATATATTATTTTAAAAATTATTTAAAAAATATTTAAAAAAAAATTGATTTTAGTTTTACTTTTGAATTAATTTGGAAACAAATTTATGTCATATTTACAATAATAATACATGAGAGTACGATCTTAACATTGATTGATCCCGCCTTGGACTTGCCGCTCTCTGTTGCCACTGCGTAGTTCGTGTTCGTGGCTCGTAGTTGCCTGACAGTTCATTCTAGAGCGGGGGTCGGTCGAACTCTCGTACACTCCCGCGAACGCACGCTCGAAATCAACTACAGTAGAGGTCCAGTGGTACGTACATCGACCCGGCATGGGCGATTCCTTGGACGGCTCCGGGGAACCGTCCCCGGAGTCGCAGAACGTCGCGATTGTCGAGTTCCCGACGTTCGCCAACTATCTGCGCAAGGCCGTCACCGTGTTGCTACCGGACGAAGATGCGGTGCCGCCCGCGTTCAACTTTGCGCTCGAGGACCGCTACAATCAGGATTGTGTCCGCAAGTTCCTCGGCGACTCGCAAGTCAGTTCGCTCTACATACAGAGGAGCTCGACCAAAGGTAAGCGCAATCGACGCGTTATCGTTGACCATCGTCGTGTCCCCCGGGGGACCGTCTACCTCTGATAACCGGCGATGCGCGAGCCACCATTATTGTCGGATGCGTTATATCGTAACGAAGCAACGGTACATTTCGTTGTATGAGAAAAAAACGCGTCCTGAAAATCAATTGTGTGAACGCACGCCATACGTGACTTTGCTCTTGCCGAATATGACTCACACGTCGGCGGAATCGATATACGCATCGTACGCATTAATATCGGCTGACGTAGGCGATACGCTCGCTCCTCGTTCGCTGATTTTCATTTGATTTTTTGAATTTGTTTCGCGCTGCACAAATGTGCACTCGCGAACACACCGGTGCTCGCGCGACAATGATAGCGGAGTTTGATAACAAATCTGAGGACGCTGCTGCGTTGCGACCTATTGGAGTTTTATATATAAATCAGTTATCGATTTCGACCGATAAATATCCCTTGTCTATTTATATCTGCATAATTGAATAATACAACGTTTTATTTTACTTAGGCATTTATTTTTCCTTGGGGTAATTTAAATTATTTAATATTAATAAGATAATAATTATCAACACAAAAATGTCTGTCATTATATGTAGAAATGAAATATTATGTAGAAACGAAATATTACAATCGCGAAATATTAAGGTAAGACAGTTAGATCGAGCGAAGTATTAACGTTTTTTAAACATCAGCTGACAGGTCAACACAATTGACAAACAATAAACGCTCCTCGATTCGAGAGACGTGCTAAACGATTTATTTAGCGAAAACGCGAATATGATCGGCGAACCGAGTTCTCATTCTTCCGTTGGCCAGTTAACATCTTTTCTTGTACTTAATTTTTTTTCTTAAATATACTTAAAATTTTGCAAGAATATTATCGCTATCATTCAAGTATGTCTATATTATATAACTATTTTTTGTATTTTTTTCTTTTCTTTTTTAACATCTAATATTGTTGCAATTTATGTATTGGAAAACTTAACGAATGGATAAAATTCTATATGATTTTTCTCTTTGCAGAAGAAGATAGCGGCGAAGGGGATGAAGACAAGGAGAATGCAACTTACTATATATCGAACGAGATACACTTTTCAAATCCAAAAATGGCCTCCTTAGTTTTAACAAAACGTGGAATTGTCGTGGAGGCTGACAAGTCGATTCACTCTCAAGTGCGTTTGATCACTTTCTCCGATGGACCGCCATACGAAACGTTACATGCGATAAGTAAAACTATGGCACCTTATTTCAAAAGTTATGTGAAAGAAACAGGTCGCGCTCACAGGGACGGTGACAAAATGGTACCGTTGGTAGAGAAGAAAATTGCAGAGCTCGAAATGGGATTATTGCACTTGCAGCAGAATATTGATATCCCTGAAATCTCGCTGCCCGTACATCCGATTGTGGCGCAAGTTATTAAACAATGCGAAGAGGAAGGCCGCAAGCCAAAGGTTGCTGACTTTGGCGACAAGGTGGAAGATTCGACATTCTTGAATCAGTTGCAGAACGGTGTCAACAGGTGGATAAAAGAGATCCAAAAGGTGACGAAATTGAATCGCGATCCGGAATCGGGTACGGCGCTTCAGGAGATCTCGTTTTGGCTGAATCTCGAGAGAGCGTTACATCGCATTCAGGAGAAGCGGGAGAGCATCGAGATCTCCCTGACGCTCGACATACTCAAGCATGGCAAACGTTTCCACGCCACTGTGAGCTTCGACACCGACACCGGTTTGAAACAAGCGCTGGCCACCGTGAACGACTACAATCCGTTAATGAAAGACTTTCCGATCAACGATCTGTTGTCGGCCACCGAATTGGAGAGAATACGCAGCAGCGTACAGCAGATCTTTATGCACTTGAGAAAGATCCGAAGCACGAAGTATCCCATTCAGAGAGTGCTGAGATTGGTGGAAGCTATCTCGAGAGATTTGGGGCAGCAATTGCTGAAGGTGTTGGGTACACGACGACTGATGCATATTCCATTCGACGATTTCGAGAAAGTCATGGCGCAGTGCTTTGAAGTATTCACCACTTGGGACGACGAGTACGACAAGCTCACGGGATTGCTGAGAGACGTTGTGAAGAAGAAGCGCGACGAGCACATGAAGATGGTATGGCGAGTCCTACCGGCGCACAAGAAGCTGCAATCGAGAATGGAGCACATGCGTCGCTTCCGACGACAGCACGAACAACTGAGAACAGTGATAGTTCGCGTGCTCAGACCCACCGTACGCCAGAGCAGTAACACCTCGACGTTGGAAAATGCTGATAACGACAACGTCAAGGTGGAGTTCGCGCTGGACGCGGCGGACGCCAATGCTATCAGCGAAGTTAATTTGGCGTACGAGAATGTGAAGGAGGTGGATTGTCTGGATATCACCAAAGAAGGGCAGGAGTCCTGGGACGCCGCTGTGCACAGATATGAGGAGCGCATAGAGCGCGTAGAGGCGAGAATCACGGCGCATCTTCGAGATCAATTGGGCACCGCTAAGAATGCGAACGAGATGTTTAGAATTTTTTCGAGATTCAACGCGCTCTTCGTAAGGCCGCACATTCGGGGCGCCATTAGAGAATATCAGACGCAACTGATACAAAGAGTCAAGGATGATATCGAAGCGTTGCATGAAAAATTCAAGGTAATAAAGATTTTTTTAACGACTGTTAAATTTGAGAAAAATCAGTGAAGAATGTTGGTAACTGAAAAAAATTGTTTACAGGTTCAATATGCGCAAAGTAAATGCTGTAGGATGAGTATGGTGAGGGATTTGCCACCTGTCGCGGGATCAATAATTTGGGTCAAACAAATTGATTACCAGTTGACGATGTATTTGAAACGCGTCGAGGATGTTCTAGGTAATGTGTTCTAATTTTTCGATGAAAAACTGTTCTCTTGATTTATATATAACATTGCATGTATTATTAGGTAAAGGATGGGAGAGCCACATCGAAGGTCAGAAACTAAAAGCCGACGGAGATAGCTTTCGTATGAAACTGTCAACGCAAGAGATTTTCGACGACTGGGCGCGTAAGGTGCAGGCGCGAAATCTTGGTGTGACTGGACGTATCTTCACGATCGAGAGCGTACGTTCGAGAACAGGACGCGGTAACGTGCTGAAGCTGAAAGTGAATTTCCTTCCTGAGATTATTACGCTGTCGAAGGAAGTGAGAAACTTGAGGAACCTCGGATTTCGAGTGCCTCTGCCGATTGTCAATAAGGCTCATCAGGCGAACCAACTATATCCTTTCGCCATCAGCCTCATCGAGAGCATCAGAACTTACGAGAGAACGTTGGAGAAGGTAAGATAATTACGATAATTACTTAGTCGCCAACATTCAGAAGTTAAATAATTTCTTAATAAATGGTCGACTTTTTATTTCGTGGATGTTTCCGCCTTTTGCGAATTATCAATGTTACGATAATATAGGCAATTTAAAAGCTTTAAAAGTCTGAGCAAAATGATAGATTACGCTAAGGTAATAGTGCCAGGTGTAAAGGTATTAGAATAATTGATATCTCTAATTCCTTGGATCTCGAATATTTTTAGCTTACCAATCGGAGTCCCCATTGTCCCGCATTAAAGGTAGTCATACTTGATGCTTCCAGGAATTATGCATCTTGCCTTATATGCAAATGCATTATTGTCTGCCTGCTTAGCTATCGTAGAAAAATTTGTAATGCAAGATATTACAAGTTTATTTTTACTGATTTATATATACATATATATATATATTTAACGAATGTTGTATTAATTATTTTTAAATTCATGTAGACTTGTACGGATGTGCGGGAGGTCCACAAATCGCGAAAATTGTTTATATATCAAATTTGATAAAAATATCTTAAGGATATTTAGAAAATATAAACGGACATTCTAAATTGAATCGTTTTGTATAACGGAATTGAAATTATGAATTTTATTTCAACGAAGAAGGCTATCCGCATGTCCGGAAGATTGCTTGGAGGTGATATAATATAAGATTGTTTCATCTGTCTGATATAAACGTGTCAACAACATATGATTCTCTATATTATCTATATATTGAATTTTTAAGTATGCATATGATCTTGAGTTCGGTTGAATGATAACTTGTAATTTATGTTGTAAAGCTGTAATGTAAAACTCAAATTAATTTGTGCATTGCAAATTTAAAGAAATAATTTAACATTAAATCTCTCTTTAGATTGAGGACAAAGCCAGTATTATACCCTTGGTAGCTGGTATGCGGAAAGATGTTCTAACGTTGATCTCTGAGGTGAGTTAATGTTATACTCATGTGTTTACACTACAATTTCTAAATTTTTACGCTTATGTTGATTATCTTTGTGTGTCCAGGGTATCGCATTAGTTTGGGAAAGCTATAAGCTCGATCAATACGTGCAACGTCTGTCCGACGCCGTCGTTTCTTTCCAAGAAAGGGTGGAAGATCTTTTGGTCGTGGAAGAACAGCTGGACGTTGATGTCCGTTCTCTCGAGACGTGTCCTTATTCCGCAAACACGTTCGCTGACATTTTGTCTAAGATCCAGAAATCAGTAGACGAGCTGTCTTTGAAGAATTATTCCAACTTACACATTTGGGTGGCGAGACTCGACGAAGAAGTGGAGAAGAACTTGGCTGCCAGATTGGAGGCTGGAATAAAAGCGTGGACCGATGCCTTGACCGGGCATAAAAAAGAGGTGGACCTGAGTATGGACACCGATGCTCCCACGCAGCCAACGCATAAACCCGGCGGCGATCCTAAGATTCAGAATCAGATCCACGAAGTTCGGATTACCAATCAGACCATGTATCTGTATCCGAGCATCGAGGATGCACGATTCCAGATAATGCAACAATTATTCGCGTGGCAAGCAATTGTTACGTCGCAGATTCGTCTCCAAAGCTCGAGATATCAAGTCGGGCTGGATAAGCCCGAGTCGGGCACGTACAGAAACTTACTTACAAAATTACCCGCCGGAAAGCAACCGCTGGAGGCAGCGTACGAAGCGGTGGAATTCAAAATGAAAGACGTTGCCGATTACGTCGATCAGTGGCTGCGTTATCAGGCTCTTTGGGATCTGCAGCCGGGCAATCTTTACGGTAAATTAGGCGAAAATATTAACTTGTGGATGAAGTGTCTGAATGATATCAAGAAGACGAGGACCACGTTCGATACCTCTGACACCAGACGCGAATTCGGACCTGTTATTATAGACTTTGCAAAGGTGCAGAGTAAAGTATCGTTAAAATACGATTCGTGGCATAAAGAAACTTTGGGCAAGTTTGGCACGCTTCTTGGCAACGAAATGGCCAGCTTCCACTCTCAAGTATCAAAATCTAGGAGCGATCTGGAGCAGCAGTCCATCGAAGCGGCTAGTACGTCCGACGCGGTCGGTTTTATAACATACGTGCAATCTCTGAAACGTAAGATGAAAGCCTGGGAGAAACAAGTGGACATATATCGCGAGGGCCAGAGGATACTCGAGCGACAGAGATTCCAATTCCCGTCTTCTTGGCTGCACGTGGACAATATAGAAGGAGAATGGGGTGCGTTTAATGAAATTATCAAGCGTAAAGACACCAGCATTCAGACTCAGGTCGCGTCCCTGCAAATGAAGATCGTCGCCGAAGATAAAGCGGTTGAAACGAGGACTACCGACTTCCTCAGCGACTGGGAAAGAGGCAAGCCTGTGGAAGGTCATCTGCGACCAGACGACGCCTTGCAGCAGTTGCAATTATTTGAGAGTAAATTCGCTAGACTGAAAGAAGAAAGAGACAACGTCGCCAAGGCTAAAGAGGCGTTGGAACTACAAGAGCCGGGCGGAATATCGACCAGCGAGGACAGAATGCAGGTGGTGTTTGAAGAGCTGCAAGACTTGAGAGGAGTCTGGTCGGAATTGTCGAGAATATGGGCGCAGATCGACGAAACGCGCGAGAAACCTTGGCTTTCCGTACAGCCGCGTAAGCTGCGCCAGCAACTGGACACGATGATGGCGCAACTGAAGGAGCTGCCAGCGAGATTAAGGCAGTACTCGTCATACGAATACGTGAAGAAAATGCTGCAAAGTTACACGAAAGTAAATATGTTAATTGTCGAACTGAAATCTGACGCGCTGAAAGAAAGGCACTGGAAACAATTGACGAAGCAGCTGAGAGTGAACTGGGTGCTAAGCGAACTCACCCTCGGTCAAGTCTGGGACGTGAATCTTCAAAAGAATGAAGCCATAGTCAAGGATATCATCCTCGTCGCCCAAGGAGAAATGGCTCTCGAGGAATTCTTGAAGCAAGTACGCGAATCCTGGCAAACGTACGAGCTGGATTTGATAAATTACCAAAATAAATGCAGACTGATACGCGGTTGGGATGATTTGTTTAACAAGGTAAAAGAGCACATCAATTCGGTGGCTGCTATGAAATTGTCGCCGTATTACAAAGTGTTCGAAGAGGAAGCTCTGACCTGGGAGGAAAAGTTGAACAGAATCAACGCCCTCTTCGATGTGTGGATAGACGTCCAGCGACGATGGGTCTACCTCGAAGGCATCTTTTCCGGTAGCGCGGATATCAAGACGTTACTGCCGGTGGAAACGTCACGTTTCCAAAGTATCAGTTCCGAGTTTCTGGGCTTGATGAAGAAAGTATCCAAGTCTCCCATGGTCACGGACGTGCTCAACATTCCTGGCGTTCAAAGAGCGCTCGAACGTCTCGCCGATCTTCTCGGCAAAATTCAAAAAGCGCTGGGCGAGTATCTGGAGAGAGAACGAACATCCTTTCCAAGATTTTACTTTGTCGGTGATGAAGATTTACTGGAGATCATCGGTAACAGCAAAAACGTCGCGAGACTGCAGAAGCACTTCAAGAAGATGTTCGCCGGTATAGCCGCTATCCTGTTGAACGAGGATAACACGATCATCACCGGTATCGCTTCGCGCGAGGGCGAAGAAATTATATTTCAGAATCCCGTGTCCACGTCTGACCATCCTAAAATCAACGAATGGTTGTCGCTCGTCGAGAAAGAAATGCGCGTGACGCTTGCCTCGAGCCTTGCGAAAGCGGTGCAGGATATTAAGCAGTTCAAGGATGGCAACATAAATGCACAGGCATTTATGTCGTGGTGCGACAATTATCAGGCTCAAATAATAGTTCTGGCCGCGCAGATCTTGTGGTCGGAGGACGTAGAAGCGGCTCTTCACGAGGCGCAAACAGATCCGAGCAAAAATCCACTGGAAAGAGTTCTGGTGCAAGTGGAGAGCACGCTGAACGTGCTGGCTGATTCCGTTCTTCAAGAACAGCCGCCGTTGAGGAGGAAGAAACTGGAGCACTTGATTAACGAATTCGTACACAAACGCACCGTAACGAGACGATTAATTTCCAACAAAGTTTCGAATCCAAAGGCTTTTGAATGGCTGTGTGAAATGAGATTCTACTTTGACCCGAGGCAAACGGAAGTGCTGCAGCAACTCACGATACACATGGCAAACGCCAAGTTCTCCTATGGATTTGAATATTTGGGAGTGCAGGATAGATTGGTGCAGACGCCGTTGACCGACAGATGCTACCTGACGATGACGCAAGCGTTAGAGGCTCGACTCGGTGGTTCGCCGTTTGGACCGGCCGGCACAGGAAAGACTGAATCTGTGAAAGCGCTGGGTCACCAGCTGGGACGATTCGTATTGGTATTCAATTGCGACGAGACATTTGATTTCCAGGTAAGTAAAAATAAAAAAAATTGATTTGACAATGTCAATATGATAAAGAATACATCTCATATTATCATTGTTTATCTGCAGGCTATGGGTCGCATATTCGTCGGTCTCTGTCAAGTCGGTGCATGGGGTTGCTTCGACGAATTCAATCGCTTGGAAGAGCGCATGTTGTCCGCTGTTTCCCAACAAGTGCAAACGATTCAAGAAGCGCTCAAGAGTCAGATGGAAGGCAAGAAGGAAGGTATGCTCTGCGTCGAATTGGTTGGAAAACAAGTCAAGGTCTCCACGGATATGGCTATATTCATCACGATGAATCCCGGATATGCCGGACGTTCCAATCTACCTGACAATCTGAAGAAGCTTTTCAGATCACTGGCTATGACCACGCCTGATCGTCAGTTGATCGCCGAAGTGATGCTTTTCAGTCAAGGTTTCCGATCTGCGGAAAAACTGGCGTGTAAAATCGTTCCGTTCTTCAAGTATGTATTCAGATGTGTTCGTGTTTCGTGTAATAAATATGTAGCTTACGTTGCTAAATTTTAATTTCTTTTTCTAGGCTCTGTGACGAACAACTGTCTAATCAATCTCACTACGATTTCGGATTACGTGCACTCAAGTCTGTGCTGATCTCTGCCGGAAACGTGAAACGCGATCGTATACAAAAGATCAAAGAGGGCATGCACAGCCGTGGCGAAACTAATATTGACGAAGCCTCGATCGCTGAAAATCTGCCCGAGCAGGAGATACTTATTCAATCTGTATGCGAGACGATGGTCCCCAAATTAGTTGCCGAAGATATTCCGTTGTTGTTTAGTTTGCTAAGCGACGTATTCCCTAATGTGAATTACACACGCGCCGAAATGAAGGGTAAATTATTATTCTAATCATAAGAGCGTCATAAATGTTTATAGAAACATGTGTATATATATGTACGCATATATACATTTCATATATACATATGTATTATATTTTAGGATTGAAAGACCAAATTAGGAAAGTATGCGCCGAGGAATATCTAGTATGTGGCGAAGGAGATGAACAAGGAGGCGCCTGGCAAGAGAAGGTAGTATATTCTTTCAACAGAAATTATTCCAAACGACAAATAATATTTGACATTAATGCACTAATTGTTTAAGCACTAATTCGTACACTACTTCATTAAGATACTCATATTCACACATTTTTATACAACAACGCTTAAAGACTTAATTTTCATATTGTTTATGCATGCTAAGGATTCTGTCGGTGAGACGTGGGTGGAAAAGGTAAGATCTAAGTCTATCTGTAATCAATTGCACCTCTCATACGCTTTCTTGCATGACTGTTTTAACATCATCATTCATTTTCTTTATTTCTCATAATTTTCTACTTATTATGTTGTTTATTTAGGTGCTGCAATTATACCAAATTTGTAACTTGAACCATGGATTAATGATGGTCGGTCCGAGCGGATCCGGTAAAAGTATGGCGTGGAAAGTGCTGCTTAAAGCATTGGAGCGATTTGAAGGTATAGAAGGCGTCGCCCACGTAATCGATCCCAAGGCTATTAGCAAAGAAACATTGTACGGCGTGCTAGATCCAAATACACGTGAATGGACCGATGGTTTGTTCACGCATATACTGAGAAAGATAATCGATAACGTCAGAGGAGAAATTAACAAGCGGCAATGGATCATATTCGACGGAGATGTCGATCCAGAATGGGTGGAAAACTTGAACTCTGTACTGGACGATAATAAGCTTCTCACTTTGCCCAACGGCGAACGCTTGAGCTTACCGCCGAACGTAAGAGTTATGTTCGAAGTACAAGATTTGAAGTACGCCACTCTGGCCACCGTGTCGCGTTGTGGCATGGTTTGGTTCTCGGAGGATGTGCTGTCGACGGAGATGATATTCGAGAACTATATGCTACGCTTGCGAAATATTCCACTGGAGGACGGCGAGGAGGATAATCTTGGCAAGAAAGCCACGGATAAGGAAGACACTATATCGCCTGCGTTATCGGTGCAGAGAGAAGTCGGCAGCATCATGCAAAGTTACTTCGCGCCGGACGGCTTGGTCGTGAGATGCTTGGAGTACGCCATGAAGCAAGAACACATAATGGACTTTACGCGCCTGCGAGCTCTCAGTTCTCTGTTTTCCATGCTGAACCAAGCCGTTCGTAATGTACTGCAGTACAATCACACTCATACTGATTTTCCTCTACCGAGCGAGCAGCTGGAGCGTTACATGCCCAAGTGCTTGGTTTACGCACTCCTGTGGAGCTTCGCGGGCGATGCTAAATTAAAAGTTAGATCCGATTTGGGCGACTTTGTCAGATCTATCACAACTATACCTTTGCCGTCGCAAAATAACATACCGATCATAGATTTTGAAGTGAATATACACGGCGAATGGTTGCCTTGGAGCAACAAAGTTCCTCAAATTGAAGTGGAGACTCATAAAGTGGCTAGTCCTGATATCGTTGTACCAACGTTGGATACTGTGAGGCACGAGAGTTTACTGTACACTTGGTTGGCTGAACACAAGCCGCTGGGTAAGTGATTAATATTATTTGCAATAAATCAATACGAATCTACATTCAGTTATATTCAAAAATATAATTGTGTTTACTTGCAGTACTCTGTGGACCACCCGGTTCTGGTAAAACCATGACGCTATTCTCCGCTTTGCGAGCCTTACCCGATATGGAAGTTGTCGGACTTAACTTCTCTTCCGCCACGACGCCCGAATTGTTACTCAAAACGTTTGATCACTACTGCGAATATCGCAAGACACCTAACGGCGTTGTACTTTCTCCGGTACAGCTGGGCAAGTGGCTGGTTCTGTTCTGCGACGAAATCAATTTACCTGACATGGATAATTACGGAACACAACGCGTTATCTCCTTCTTGAGGCAATTAGTCGAACACAAAGGCTTTTATAGAACCAGCGATCAGGCGTGGGTCACCTTGGAAAGAATTCAGTTTGTGGGCGCCTGTAATCCACCTACAGATCCCGGCAGGAAACCTCTCAGTCACAGATTCCTACGACATGTGCCCGTCATTTACGTTGATTATCCTGGGGAAACCTCCCTGAAACAGATTTACGGCACATTTACACGTGCCATGCTCAGGTAAATATTTGCTGATAATTAATTTGACAAAAACACGCACGAACTTTATTGATCACCTAACCTTTTCTTTTTAATTCTTTTACAAAACCATATATTGTCGTGCTGCATTGGTTAATGTAGAAACAATTTTTTTCCAATTTACAGGCTAACACCAAATCTAAGAGGTTATGCAGAGTCCCTGACAAATGCAATGGTGGAATTCTACTTGGCTTCCCAGGAGAGATTCACTCAGGACATGCAGCCGCACTACGTGTACTCCCCGCGAGAAATGACGCGTTGGGTGCGCGGCATTTGCGAAGCCATCAGACCGCTGGACAATCTCTCGGTGGAAGGCTTGGTGCGTTTGTGGGCTCACGAGGCCCTTCGTCTATTCCAAGACAGATTAGTCGAGGAAAACGAGAGAGCTTGGACGAACAAGAACATAGACATCGTAGCTCTGAAGCACTTCATGTCAGTCGACCGAGAGAAAGCATTAGCCAGACCGATCTTGTACAGCAATTGGCTGTCGAAGGACTATGTGCCAGTAAATAGAGAAGAGTTGAGAGATTATGTTCGGGCGAGGTTGAAAGTGTTTTACGAGGAAGAATTGGACGTGCCGTTGGTACTCTTCGACGAGGTTCTCGAGCATGTTCTACGGATTGACAGAATTTTCCGACAGCCTCAGGGACACTTGTTACTCATCGGTGTCTCTGGCGCTGGAAAGACAACTCTGTCGAGATTCGTTGCATGGATGAATGGTTTATCGATTTTCCAAATCAAGGTATTTCTATATATATCTATATATATATATATATGAATATCGAACATTCAATATTTCTTTAAATGTGTTTAAATGTTTCTTTAATCATTTAATATCTTCAAAAGGTGCACAACAAGTATACTGGTGAAGATTTCGACGAAGATCTGCGACAAGTGTTGAGGCGATCCGGCTGCAAGGATGAAAAAATAGCTTTCATTCTCGACGAATCGAACGTATTAGATTCCGGCTTCCTCGAACGTATGAATACCTTGCTCGCCAATGGAGAAGTTCCCGGATTATTCGAAGGTGACGAGTACACGACGCTCATGACGCAATGCAAAGAGGGCGCTCAGCGAGAAGGCCTAATGCTGGATTCCAACGAGGAGCTGTACAAATGGTTCACTGGCCAGGTCATGAAGAATCTGCACGTCGTGTTTACGATGAACCCGAGTATGGACGGTCTGAAAGACCGCGCGGCAACGTCGCCAGCGTTGTTCAACAGATGCGTGCTAAATTGGTTCGGCGATTGGTCGGACAACGCACTGTTCCAAGTTGGCAAAGAGTTCACTAATCGCGTCGATCTCGAGAGACCCATGTGGAAATGTCCGGATTTCTTCCCGTCTGTGTGCTCCTTGATCCCGGCGCAGCCCTCGCACAGGGACGCCGTTATAAACGCGTGCGTTTACGTGCACCAGACCCTGCACAAAGCGAACACGCGGCTAGCGAAAAGAGGCGCCAGAACGATGGCGATCACGCCACGCCATTACCTAGATTTTATCAATCACTTCGTTAAGCTGTATCAAGAGAAGAGGAGCGACCTGGAGGAACAACAGTTGCATTTGAATGTCGGTCTGAGTAAAATTGCCGAGACAGTGGAGCAGGTGGAAGAAATGCAGAAGAGTTTAGCTTTCAAATCTCAGGTGAGACAAGTTGAACTTGTGAGAAATTTTTCGTTCATGGAACTCTCAACGCGTCTATAATATCCTGCTGCTTTTTTATTTTTTTAGGAACTGCAAGCTAAAAACGATGCTGCCAATGCAAAATTAAGACAAATGGTCAAGGATCAGCAAGAAGCGGAGAAGAAGAAGGTGCAGAGTCAAGAAATCCAGCAGCAGCTGGCTATTCAGACGGTGGCTATTAACCAAAAAAGGGATGATGTTATGGCGGACCTCGCCCTAGTCGAACCGGCTGTTATCGATGCTCAAACCGGTACGTACGCTCTTTTACAGTATTTCTTGTCGCATTATTATTTAAATCTTTGGATGAGTATTTTCAAGACTAATTATATAATTATCAGGCTTTGCAAGAATGATTTTATTTGCGTTTACAACAGTATCCATAAAAATATTCCATATAGCTATTCATTATGTATCTTTGAAATAATAATACTTGTTGAAATTATGATATCAATGTGTTACGTGTTCAATAATACTGTGATAGCACTCGAACAACACACGAAGGCAGCATTGTACATGTGTTTATATTGATTTGAATTATTTTTCGCTTCAAAATCGCGGTCTACGTGGCTTATGCTTTGCAATGAGCGTAGCCGTGAAGGCGATTAAGCGGCAGCATCTCGTCGAAATCCGATCTATGGCGAATCCCCCTGCCATCGTAAAGCTGGCGGTAGAATCTATTTGCCTATTGCTCGAGGAAAACGCCACAGATTGGAAACAGATTCGCGCTATTATAATGAAGGACAGCTTTATTCCCACTATCGTCAATTTCAACACTGAGAACATCACGTAAGGGAACAACGTACGGGCCTGTTAAATGTTGAGCGCTCGCGTGCAATTCTAATACGAAATACGAGCTACCTTGTAACAGCTTGATGCGTGTCTCGTTCTCATAACGTTTCTCCCACTTTAGCACACTCACTTGCGTCACTGCGTTATTACACTTGCAAGGAGAGTGTTTGTACAACGATATTTTGGAACGAAATTATCAATCTTGCAAAAATGAATGTTTTAGATGTTTCTTTGCAAATGTAAAGGCAAGGCGTAATATAATATGTATATAATTATATGTTATTCATGTTGCCTCTTCCGAATCTCTAACACTGCAGGTCAGCTAGAGGGAGACTTCTACAACATGCGACTTCTTTCGCGTAACTTTATCGTAACTCTTGTCTAATGCTTGCTACATTTTCTTCTTTGTACTACATATTGCTCTTTGATGTTTTATATAGCGGTGAAATCGATAAAGAAACAGCATTTAGTCGAGGTTCGCTCCATGGCGAATCCGCCGGCGATTGTGAAGGTCGCACTGGAGTCTATCTGCTTATTGCTCGGTGAAAATGCTAGCGACTGGAAATCTATCCGCGCGGTCATCATGAGGGACAATTTTATCAATACGATTGTCTCTAATTTCAGTACTGAGGACATTACGTAAGCATGAATTTATCGTTTCTTTCTTTACTATTTTAATTTTATTCTGTAGTGGAGAAATCAGCTATCACAAATTTAAATACATCCGTATGATGTAATATTATAATACTGATGTGGTGATCAAACTGTTATCTTACGAATTTGAAGATTTTTAAGCGCTACGCGTTTGCCGTGATTGCTGATCTTATTTTTTGAATTGTTGAATTTCAGATATGATGAGAGTTTTTATTATAATAAATGAATCATGTACAGTCTTTTCTCATTATTTAATTAATATTGCAAATTACCGTGATAATTGCATTCTTGGCAAACTGCTTGCATTTGATTTGCAAGCATTTCTGAAACTGCTTTGAAAGCGATGTATATATTAACAAGTCTTAACGGCGAAATACTATCATTCTTTTATTGCATGTTAACAATGATTGATAAATGTGTCGCTAACACTGAATTGTGTCTAAATTTTATTCACTGACAATAATGGCATATCTACATAATCGCGAAATATTCTAAATCAAATTAACAGTGTGCAACAGAGCGCTGTATTAATGTAAAATGTTCTTATAAATATTTGTAAATAAAATCTGAGTAAATTAATGGTTTTGCTCTGACAAACAGTAAAGACGATAAAATTCAGTGAAACTTTATTATAAAGGCAAGAAAATTAATGAATATTTTGTTTAGCGACGAGGTGAGAGACAAAATGAAGAGTCGCTATCTAAGCAATCCGGATTACAACTTTGAGAAAGTAAATCGCGCTAGTTTGGCTTGCGGTCCTATGGTGAAATGGGCCATAGCGCAGGTAATGATGATTTCGTAAGATTGAAAAGATACATGTAACTTTTAAAGAGAGAGGGTGAATTTTAAAATAAATATATTTTCAGATCGAGTACGCTGACATGTTGAAGCGAGTCGAACCGCTACGCGACGAACTTTATTCTTTGGAGCGGCAAGCGGAAACGAACAAAGTGAAAGGTGAACAGGTGAAGAACTTGATCGCTCAATTGGAACAGAGTATAGCATCATACAAGGAGGAATACGCCCAACTTATCTCACAAGCGCAAGCCATCAAAGCAGATCTGGAGAGTGTGCAGGCTAAAGTGGATAGATCGATCGCTTTATTGAAGTCCTTGGTCATAGAGAGGGAGAGATGGGAAGCGACAAGCGAGACATTCAAGAGCCAGATGTCCACAATAATCGGTGACGTTCTATTGTCCTCCGCTTTTCTGGCTTACGCTGGTTACTTCGATCAACACGTAAGTGCCACTGTTTTCTAGCATCTTCTGTTCAAGAGTGAGAATCGCGTAATTTTTGTAACGAAATGTATATTTTATTTCAGTACCGTCAAAACCTCTTCACCACGTGGTGCCAGCATTTGCAACACGCAAACCTACAATTCAGACCTGACATCGCGAGAACGGAATATCTGTCCAATCCAGACGAACGTTTGAGATGGCAGGCGAACGCATTGCCGACCGACGATCTTTGCACCGAGAACGCGATTATGTTGAAACGCTTCAACAGATATCCGCTAATCATCGATCCGTCCGGTCAGGCAACGGAGTTCATTTTGAACGAGTTCAAGGACCGGAAGATAACAAAGACCAGCTTCTTGGACGACTCGTTCAGGAAAAATCTCGAGAGTGCTCTACGCTTTGGCAATCCCCTGTTGGTTCAGGATGTGGAGAATTACGATCCTATATTGAATCCCGTGTTGAACCGAGAATTGAGACGAACAGGCGGACGCGTGCTCATCACGCTCGGCGATCAGGACATAGATCTCTCGCCGTCCTTCGTCATCTTCCTGTCGACGAGAGACCCGACGGTGGAGTTCCCACCGGACATCTGCTCCCGCGTGACGTTTGTTAACTTTACCGTCACCAGGAGTTCTCTGCAGAGCCAGTGCCTGAATCAGGTGTTGAAGGCCGAGCGTCCGGACATCGACGAGAAGAGATCCGACCTGCTCAAACTGCAGGGTGAATTCCATCTGCGGCTGCGGCAACTTGAGAAATCTCTGCTGCAAGCGTTGAACGACGCCAAGGGCAAGATCCTCGATGACGACTCCGTGATCACCACTCTCGAGACCCTGAAACAGGAGGCCGCCGATATCAGTAAGAAGGTCGAGGAAACGGACAAAGTCATAGCGGAGATCGAGACAGTTTCCCAGCAGTACATGCCACTGTCGCAGGCGTGCTCGAACATGTACTTTACGATGGACAGCCTCAACCAGGTGCACTTCTTATATCAGTATTCGCTGAAGATGTTCCTCGACATATTTACGTACGTGCTGTCGCAAAATCCGAAGCTGTCCGGCATGTCGGACTACAGCCAGCGACTCACGCTCATCACGCGCGAGCTGTTCGCCGTTTGTTACGAGCGGGTTGCGCGAGGCATGCTGCACACGGACAGGCTGACGTTCGCCCTGCTGCTCTGCCGCATTCATCTGAAGGGCATACCGACGGAGTCCACGTACGACAGCGAGTTCACATTCTTCTTGCGCGGTAAGGAAGGCGTGTTGAACATCCGGGCGCCTCCGATAACCAATCTGAGCTCGGAACAGCAGGAGGCGATGATGCGCCTGAGTATAAGGTTACCCGCCTTCAAGAAGCTCGCTGAGAAGATTCAGGAAAGTGCGGAGTTTGGCGCGTGGCTGCAATCGCCCACGCCCGAGACGTGTGTGCCGAAGCTCTGGGACGAAGAAAAACCGCTGTCGCCCACGGGAACGGCGATGCACCAACTGCTGATCATACAGGCTTTCCGGCCGGATCGCGTGATTGCGGCCGCGTCCCTGGTGGTCGCTTCAGCCTTCGGCGACTCTTTCATGCCGGCCGCGGAGGCTGAGCTTGACTTCGCATCCGTCGTAGAGAATCAACTCAAGGCGACCGTGCCGGCTTTGATGTGCTCGGTGCCGGGCTTCGATGCTTCGAGCAGAGTGGACGATCTTGCCGCGGAATTGGGCAAACAAATAGCTAGCATTGCTATCGGATCGGCGGAAGGATTCAATCAGGCTGACCGGGCTATAAACATGGCTGTAAAGGCCGGCAGATGGGTGCTGCTGAAGAACGTACATCTCGCTCCGCAATGGCTTGTGCAGCTGGAAAAGAAGTTGCACAGTCTCCAACCGCACGCTAGTTTCCGATTATTCCTGACGATGGAGATAAATCCGAAAGTACCGGTGAATCTGCTGAGAGCCGGCAGGATCTTTGTGTACGAACCGCCTCCCGGCATACGAGCAAACCTGTTGCGTACGTTCAGCACCGTACCCGCCTCGAGGATGATGCGAGCGCCGAACGAAAGGGCCCGTCTTTACTTCCTGCTCGCATGGTTCCACGCAATCGTGCAGGAACGATTGCGCTATGCTCCGCTGGGCTGGGCCAAGCACTACGAGTTTAACGAGAGCGACTTGAGAGTCGCCTGCGACACTTTGGACACATGGATCGAAGCCACGGCTATGGGCAGGACGAATCTACCGCCCGAGAAGGTACCTTGGGACGCCCTGGTGACCCTTCTCTCACAGTGCATCTACGGCGGCAAGATCGACAACGACTTCGATCAACGTCTTCTGGCTTCCTTCTTACGCAAGCTTTTTACGCCACGCTCTTTCGAAGCGGACTTTGCTTTAGTCGCCAACATTGACGGTGCGCAGGGCAATCAGAGACACATCACGATGCCGGACGGTACTAGACGTGATCACTTCTTAAAGTGGATCGAGTCCCTCTCGGATAGGCAGACGCCTTCTTGGCTGGGTCTGCCGAATAACGCGGAGAAGGTGCTGCTAACCACGAGGGGAACCGATTTGGTCTCCAAACTTCTCAAGATGCAACAGTTGGAGGACGAAGACGAGCTGGCGTATTCGAATGAAGAGTCTTTGGACACACCGAGGGAAGCTGAAGCGGACGGTCGGCCTTCTTGGATGAGAACTCTGCACAATTCGGCCTCAACTTGGCTACAACTACTTCCAAAGAACCTGCCGATTTTGAAGAGAACAGTCGAGAATATCAAAGATCCATTGTACAGATACTTCGAAAGGGAAGTCAACAGCGGTGCAAAATTACTTCAAGATGTTATCCACGATTTGGAAGATGTCGTATTAATCTGTCAAGTATGAGTTTTATTCCTTTTTTTCTTTTTTTTATACAAAATATTGTTCCGCGTAATTACACTCCGTGTATCTTTGACAGGGCGAGAAAAAGCAGACCAATTACCATAGAACGATGCTGTCCGAATTAGTGAAGGGTATTCTACCCGGTGGCTGGAGGAGATACACGGTGCCAAGAGGCTGTACAGTCATACAATGGATCACCGATTTCAGTCATAGAGTCTCGCAGCTGCAAGAAGTCTCGCGTTTAGTCTCTCAAGGCGGAGCGAAAGAAATAAAGGTTTGTTTCAATTGTTTTCAATTATTTGAAACTATTACATATTTTCATATTTTACTACTGCATATAATCTGTATCATTTTTCAGAAATGACATATATATTCACCTTTTGTTATATTCGCGTGATTTGTCATAAAAATGTAAATCGATCGTAATTTCCAGAGTTTCCCAGTTTGGCTCGGAGGCTTGTTGAATCCCGAGGCTTACATCACCGCGACCAGGCAGTGCATCGCGCAGGCTAATAGCTGGTCACTCGAGGAACTGCAATTGAACGTAACTATCGGCGATGGTGATAATATCGCTACAGACGATTGCTCCTTCGCTGTCACCGGTCTTAAGCTGCAAGGCGCGCAATGTAAGGATAATCAATTATATTTAACGTCAACTATTATGACCGACCTGCCGGTCACCATGCTGCGATGGGTGCGATCGTCTACGGAAGATATCAGAAAGGGCAAATTGTCTTTGCCAGTTTATTTGAACAGCACTCGTACCGAATTGCTATTTACCGTCGATTTGAATATCGCTCCTAGTCAAGAACCGCATAGTTTTTACGAGAGAGGGGTTGCTGTTTTAACATCCACCGCTTTGAATTAATAGTTAAAATAATTTAACTAATTATTGAAACCGTTTAGCGCGAATTGTATTGCTTGTAACGCAAAAAAGAGAGTAATTATCACAGATGAAAACAGTATAAGATGCGCATGTTACGGCATTTGTAAAGAAAAAAGGAAGGCAAAGTAACATGCGACTTTATAGCTTACAAGTATGAAGTCTGAAGTATAAAGACATTAAAAGAAATATATATATATTTTACACGAATTGCTTTCACAAGTTTCCAAAGGATTTTGTGCTGAATGTATACAATTAAAAATGAGAATACTTTCGGCGCATAGAGCATAATTAAATGTATATCGTTCGTTTATAAGAATTTAACACTTTCACGAAGGAGGTTGTAATATACATATAGTTTATTTAATTTTGTATACGTTCGAATTTAAAATATAGCTTTCTGTAACAAAGTTACATTACGTTTGCCCAGATGTAAGTATCAAGAGATTATAGTGTTTATAACAGAATCTTAATGGCATCTAATAAAGTCATACTATAATAAAATTAACTCTGCCATTTATATTTGTCATATTCAATAGCTATTCCGTAATCCTTAATATACATATGTCCATTTTACCTCTCATAATTTGCAAGATTATAATTAATTGAAATAATTGTACTTTTTATATGAATATAAAACTATTGTGCTTAGCACTTAATAATAAAAATGTAATAATCTAACGCGACTTATAATTCCAGTTGAAAAAACTACGCCTTACTATTGCTTTACAAAAGCAATAGAGCAACAGAGAAGACTCGCAACATCAAAGCAATTGCATATCCTTATCGTTGTATTTATTCGATCTCTATAGATAATTCCAGTGAAGTGCATTAGCCGTTGTATAAACATTTTTAAGAAAGAAGAGATAATTTCTTTATTTATTGAATGACGCGTATATCGACGCAATTCATTATAACTCACGTCTTCTTCGCGTTATTTTTATCACACAAATGGACATACAAAGATTTTAGGACGTTGTGGAGAAATGATAATGATAAAATGATAAACACTTTCAAGAAAGTTTATTTTATATTATCGCTATCAATTATAAGTATTACTGTCTTATATACAGCATTATATCAAAGTTATTTTGCCCGGGGTACACACGCTTTCAAATATAAACGCACACAAATGCACTTTACAAACGCACAGTATCTAAAAATAAAAAGAATTATATATTTCCAAGTTTGCATCGAATACGAAAATATTTCTGCCGTAAATATGCATTTGTGTGTGATGCACGCGTAAAGTATAGAAATTAACATACAAAAATATACATTGAATTGTGTACTTGATAGAACAGAATAACTTTGGGTGGGGTGTGACGGAACAATAATAATGGGAAAGTGTATCAAGAACTACTACCAAAAAAAATGCAGGACTCGCTTTCAGTTCTTCCCGTCGTTAAATACAACAATACATCATAAACTCTGTTTTGTGTTAATGCAAAAGAGACTGAAAGAATGATTATTACACTAATATAACTATTTTTCAGATGATTATTATACATATAACGCACGTTTCTATCCCAACTTCCCTAGATGATAACTTCTATACATTCGCAAAGTAAAGCGAAATAAAATATTGTAATATTGTTTCATTATACAGCTCATTATGGTATAGTGTATTATGGTCCTTTACGCTAAAATTTTTCAGTACAATCACTGTGAGAAAAATGTTACAATTTTAATTTCATCAGAATAATCATTGCTGTATGTCAAAATCAATTAGAAAATAAGAAAAAAAAAGAATTATAACATTACGCTTTTTGAATGTGAAATCATCTTTGAAATGTGGAAGTTGCATTTACATAACTTAGTTCAACGTTGTGAAGGTACTAGTTTGTTGATGTTGAAAAATTGTACTCTTATATCACTGTATCAGTGTACATATCTGCGTATAAACACACCAATTTCTTTCAATCGCACCTAATATATACAAAAAAGTATTTTCCAGATAAATTAGATATATTAAATAATTGCAATGCAGTTTTATATTCCACTGAACGTATTTGTGTTTGATACAAACTTAGAATCTTGACTGTTACAACTCAATCCAATTGTATGTATTCAATTGCATTCAAGTGTATTTTATGTTCAGTCGTATTATGAATCACTCGATCTTTTACTTTTTTTTTTTTTTTTACTTTGATTTTATGTAAAATGATCAAGTCTAAGGTTTACTTATACAATAGTGATCTTATGTGAAAAACTTTATAAGCGACACCGGATAAAATAACAAAGACAAAGCATTGTGCAAGAATACAAATAGAAAGCAATAAGCAGATAGTAAGAACTAGAGCACAGATGTTGATATATAGTCGTGTTTCGTATCAAGTCTGGCTCTTACTGTTCTTCTTTTAGTAGAGATTTTATATCGAAAAACTTTTTATTTTTCTTCCCTTGAAATAGAATCATAATTTACTTTCGATACACAATTATAATTCAAATAAGTATGTTCATTATTCAACATTACGTAACACTAATGACTAGACTTCATGTCATGTTGCTATTTGTACTCTTGCACAATGGCACGGTTTTATCTTTGTTGGTTCATCGATGCCACTTTGCTTTCTTTCAGCAAAACATTGCTTTAGAAACAATACGAGATCGAAAACGTTCAAATAGCAACGATCCGTTGCAGGTACAATGTATGTTTTAATATTCTTTGGAATTTGTGATATGTTACGTATGTGTGCTTCATACACAACTAACAATTTTTATAATACTGATTACACATATATCTTTATTCTTCAGCTTTTGCCAAGAAGAGATACTGATTACATATCCATATATACAATCGAATATGGGAACATCTATTTACTCGTACAACAATCACAACGTACATTCAGCATATCAGTGTCATGGCGAAATAATCTCTTCCAATAAAATCGAAATGTAAAGTTAACGTTCGACAAGATTTTAGTTTGTACCTGCAGATCGGTATGTTACATGAGTCATGTCATTTAGTTTTGCTTACAACCGATCGCTATCAGTCTTCAATGATGGTGAATAGAAAATACGGTAGAACTTCGCAGGTACTTTATCACAAGGATAAAGACACTATGGGATATACGCTGGTACGGTAAGGGTCACAGGCTTACGGCAAACTCCGCATATTTTCATATTCTTCGCACATTCTGCACATGCTAACAAGTGCCCACACGGGATGAATAACATTCGTAATTCTCTATTGTAGCAAATTTTGCACATCCTTGCATCCTTATCGACTGATTTCTCGCATTTGACAGTAGATTCTCCCTCGGTGCTGCCCTCGCATGATTCCGCAGTAGATTCTGCAATAGATCCTGCACTGGATCCTGCACTGGATCCTGCACTAGATCCTGCACTCTCAATACCGGTGTCGTCTGAGGTAATCGAGTTTTGAGAGCTATTACCAGCAAGACTTTCATCAACCTTCACATTTAATGTTTCGACCACCACTTCAGCATTTTCGGGTGGATTGTAAGTTTCCTGAAATAATTCCAAATTTTATTTTTGCTCAGCCTACCTATTTCAATATTCTACATACATTAAATATTCTACAAATGTATGTCAATGACACAAATAACACAATTCAAATAATAAAACAAATATTTTGTTAAAGATAAATATTTGATAAAATATTTACCGGTGTGAAATATGTTCTTCTAGTAACTTGTGATACAAAATCCCTTCCTTTGACCATGAGCAGATAAGGGCAGTAATCAAACCACTTGGCATGCTGCTCCCAAACATTATCTTCTGGTTCCCAATCTCTTAATCCTCCTCCACAATGGTAACACAATGTTTGGTCACCGCTTCCTGTGTAATAAAAACCAGCTGTTGCTAGTTCTTCTTTAGTTTGCGACATTGCTCTAGGCCATGTTTCAAATGTACGTAATCTGTCATCATAGCTAGCAAATTCAGGGTGTTTCGGTCTTGTTGCACTAAGCTCTCCAAAGTCGAATGTCATTTCATCTGGTAAGTCATTATCTGGACCAGAAAAAGGCATGTACACCACACCATAAGGTCCGCATACATCTATTCCCTTAGGTACAGGTTCCGGAACAGTATTGGGATCTGTACCAATTGGTACATTGCCACATGGGATATTACGTACAAATCTACATTTTCCAGACCACCGTTGGTGATCGACCATTGGATTGTCATCCGCTTGCCATTGGCATATTTCTATTTGACATTCAAAACATTTTACTTTGTCCCTATCACCTGTGTAATAAAATCCAGATGCTGCAAGTTTGTCTGGTTTTACCCATGGACATGGCCAGTTCTTGAAGCTATTCAAACGAGCACACTCTAATCGGTAATCAATATTGTCAACTTCATCTGCTTCTTTAATTAATAAATCGGACTTTAATTGTGAATTCAGTAACAAACAATCCGAAGGGCTGAGGAAACGTTCAATGCATTCAGTCATCTTTTCAATATATTGCTTTGTTTTACCTTTAAACCTGTAAAGAAGAGACAATATATCAATAGACACATGAATTTCATGAAATAATAAAAAGTGATATTAAAATTTGTATATCAACTAATTATTAATACAAAAAATAAATCTAATTTTCCTTATATTTATAGATTGTTAATAATTCCAATTGGGTGTTGTAAAAAGAAAAACTCCAGAAAATTCTACCAGCATTTTAGCAAATTTAAATGTACTTTTTATCAACTTAATTTTAAGACGTTGTCTTACTTTTGCACTATGCACTGATGAAACCAATATAGTCAATTATACAAAATCCAAACGAATGAAACGACATGACTCGACATGATTAAAAAAAAAGAAAACTTAGAAAATCCGCAGGCACTCTAAGGTCTGATTTATAACAGGTCTGTTCTTTATAACTGAACTGGCTGCACTAGTTCCAGGGCTGATCAACTCCCGTGTATTTTGTATTAACCGTGTTTGCAGCGTCACCTATCTTACCACAGAACCTACAAGGAACTAAAAATTAATATAGCGCCCAACCCGCCCGATTCAAATATATATATATGCCTGTATGTGAATATAAATATATATATATATATATTAGTTTTTCACAATTTTTTTACACTTATATTTAAATTTTAGTTCCGATCTCCCCTGTGGTAAGATAGACGGCGCTGCAAACACAGTCAACGAAAGGTCCATAAGAGTGATTTAGCTCTGACTAGTTCAGAGTTTATCTTTTTGCCTTCACATTGGAAGGAGAAAGATAAGTGCAGCCAGTTCGGCTATAAAGAACAGGACTTATTGTGCTTCTTGTATAATTGTTTCTTGCTCTCTGCCTTTCGTAATTTGCTTTTTATGTGTTTGTCGTATGGAGTCAAGAAACATCGTGATTTACAATTTCTTCTTTCTGAACTTCCGAAGAAAAATATGCCTTTACGTAAAAGCAAAAAGGCAAAAAATCACAAAGCATGTTGCACATCGAACTTAAGAGGTATCCACACTTTTCGTTTCTTTTCTAATCTAACCTAACCTAACCTAACTTGAGATATTAAAGTGTTCACGTGATTCTCGAGTGCACAGGAAATTGTTGCGTAGAAAGGTACCTGCCATCTAGGAACAGCGTCTGCTTATTGCTCAACTGCACGCGCAAGATTTCAGACGTACACATATGTTCTACACAAAGTGCATATGCTCAAATAATGTATACACTCAAATAGCGGTTTTCTACCCTCGAAGCTGTTATTGTACGCGAATAAGGAGAATTCGCTTCCTCCGTATGTTACCAACACACGCAAAAGGAATACATCGTTGCGACATCGAACACATAGAACGCAATGTGGCCTTTATTCTCGTTCTTATTACGTTACATGGAATGTGGCGTTTCAGAGAATTGATAACGTAAGAATCTACCGCTTTTAGCGCATTTTAAATTTTATCGGAGAATATCGAGAATTGGAAAGCTCAACAAAAATGCAAAATTTCGTTTATATTAAGGTACTTGAATCGTAAATATTTTCTTTCAAAAACATTGATGATTTGCACGTGTTTGAATACGAAATAAATACTAGCTAGAATCTTTATAATGTTAGAATGAAGATATTTGCGAGAGAGAAAGAGAGTGCTGAGTGCTCTTTCATGGAACGTCGCTACAGTACTATATCTAAGATCCGTAATAAATTCCAATGAATTCCTGTCTCAGAAACCTTCTCAGAAATGTCTACTTTTATAGAATGAAAAGAAACGCCTCAGTCATGACGGCAGAGAGAAGCAATGTGTGCGTCGGATATTGAGACGAGTCATCTATTACACACTGACAACACCCTAATCTTCAGTAACACTGACATATGTATTTCTCATATTTGTTCTGAATGAGCAAGAGGCGTTTTATCTCCTTATTTAACTCGGAAACACCCACTTCCTTCAAGAAAGTGTCTCCCAAAATCGAGACACTGAAAATGTTCAAGGTACTGTTAGTACTTTTAGAAAAATTCCATAAGCAATATTGTCTTTTTGATCAATTCAAAGTAGATTTTTTTTAACAAAAAAATGTTTTAAATATATACATTTTACATCGTAATTTTTTAATTTTTAATATCACAACCTTCGAATAAAAAACATGTGATAAGATAACTCAATATCCATTTTTTAGCCTTGAAGTTAAGAGATTCTGATTTTCGATTACATGGAATTCGATGACTATTGGCCGATTTCGCTAAAATCGATTAATCGCTAAAGGCGAATCAATTGATGAAAAAATTCTTTTGAAACTCGTCTCAATGTTTTATAACAGCCGGATATATCGCTGAATGACGCATCAAAACGTTCGAAGTACACGTTCGTATTATAAACATGTGCTTATATTACTTATCGCCGAGCGAATTGCAAAATGACATCACAGCGTAAAACTTTTCCTTTGGAAATTACTCTATACTCTATAAGTTCATAATTTAGGTATTTACATAAGGTTAAGGATCGGATATAATCTAGTAAGAAATCCTAGAATTTGTGAAGTCATTGCCAGCGTTAATCCAAACTAACGCTCAAGTCATGTTCTAAGTCTCAAAGGAATTCCAGCATGTCAGGAGAAAGGTTTATCTGTTTTGAGACAGGTCCTTTATTATTAAAGGTATTATCTCATCTTATCCAAAAATACAGAATAAAATCTTAATCTAATCAAGAATCCACATAAAACATTTATGCCCATTTCCACCAATGTAGATTACCTTTAATCTCGATTCAACTTACTCTTCATCTTTTTCTAGTTCTAGAATTAGAAAAAGGTAAAGAGTAAGTTGAACCAAGATTAAAATTAATCTACATTGGTGGAATCGGACATTATAGAGTAAATTCCAAAGGAAAGTTTCCTCTCGCATCTGTTTTATCCGATCACAAAGCTGACAAGAAAATGCAAAGTGTATAATCAAAAAACTAAAGACCGATACCAATGTCAACTTCCACATTGTAACAAATTTTGCATTTTTTAGATAGCATTAAACGTAATACAAAATGATGGATATTCAAAGAATTTTGTACAAGAACATCGTAAGTCCATAATTTAGGTATTTACATAAGGTTAAGGACCGAATAAAACCTAGTAAGAAATCCTAGAATTTTTGAAGTCATTGAACGCTCAGGTCATTTTCCAAGTCTCAAAGGAATTTCACGGCATATCAAGAGAAAGGCTTTTCAAAAACTTGTGAAACTCATAAAAGCAATGGAAAAAGAAAAGAAATGATGAATAAGATTGCTAATCAATTTGCCAACATTTGCTAGATTTTTGTGCAAGAAGAAAACAACAATAAGATAAAGAAAAGCAGCATGTGAGAGTCATGTTTATCTGGTGAATTATTTGAGTAAATTATACAAGTACCAAAAAAAATATAATGAGTTTCAAGTACCTCTATTATTAGCTTAATTTTTTTCTTTAATGTATCATACTAATAATAAAATTCTCATTTTCTAATAATTTTATATTATATCTGATATATTTTAATCCAATATAATTCACACATTATTAAAGATCGATTTTAAAAATTTGTTAAAGTCGTCTTTATGATTATATTAATTTTTGTTTTGGCAACACATAATCTCTTTTAATTGTAAAAAAATACTTTTAATTTGAAAACAAAATTAAAAGTCAAAAGGATCTATTTTTATATATAATTTTGTAAAGAACATTGAATAAAAGTAAGACATATTTTCGCACCAATACTTTTCTTACACAATTCATATTTGTTTTCTGAAGTCTGTTTAGTAGGTCTCCAATTATTGTTATTAATGAATTATTTGCTTTCCACAGATTATGTTACACAAATACAGACCCGCCCAACAATATCAGATAAGCGACGCCGTTGACCATCCGTTAAAGAAATGCCGATAAGGAGTGTTGTAAACAAATGCCCATTGAATTGAAGTGCTATCAATCGATGCTATCACGATCAACTGTTCCTCTCACTCATGTTATTTTAATCTTGAGTACTTTTTCACGTTGGGCGTGTTCTACTTTTGCGTAACGCAAGCAGGACGAAAATGGAAAATACATGCTTAAATGGGTGTACGGGAAAGGAAAAGAAAGGAAGGTATGAAATCTTGGATATATCTATTTATTAAAAAACAAACGGGGTGCAATCGATGAAAAACGTACCCGATCAACTTGGCCTGATAGCTGCAATAGGATGCGAACCGTAATGTATTTGTTCTTGCGCGACAGCTTTCCAACAGCTTCCCCGACAGCTTTGTCCTTCGATTCGCTATTTTTTCTTTTCTTCGTTACGCGGATGTGTTTTACGTGAATGTTCTTGTGTGTTATCGTGTTAAACAAATTTCGAAAAACACAATTCCCCGTCACGAATCTTGACAACGATCACGTCCGACAGACACGAACGGCACATACGTTGTGCTCACGGCTCGTGAGAAATTCGTGAGACTCGACAAAGCACAGAAGTTAAGCTATAGCGTGCATTGGCATAGTTGGTACTGTACTATAGCAAAAATGCAATATGGCGGCTCGAACGACTGTTATGTATGACCTGGCGTTCCTGATAAAATGTCGAATGTACGGAATATACTATAGCAGCGGCGTCATCGTACTGCGCACGGTGTGCTTTCCCTTCCTTATCCCCTTCCTCCGCGGTCGCTCACAGTGCTCACAGTCAACGATGTAGCTAGCAACATTCGTGTGGTGAGAGCAAAATCCGAGATTAATGCCCGGTTCCACCAACATAGATTAACTTCAATCTCAATTCGACTTATTCTTCATCTTCTTCTAATTTTTAGAACTAGAAAAAGATGAAGAGTAAGTTGAATCGAGATTAAAATTAATCTATATTGATGGAAATGGGCATAATGCACTTTTTTTTGTTTTATTTATGAAATGTATGATTCTTTTGTTACGTGCTTAATATCAGTAAATTACGGAACAAATCCACGGGTTATTCTCGAAATTCCTCGTTCAAATATTAACCCTTAATCCCGACGGTTCTTTTCGGCACCTTTAATCCCGATTCATGGGTTGCTTTGCGTCTTTGCGTTATTTGGATCAGTAAAAACGCTTTAAAAAATCTGAAAAAATTCATGGAGCTTCTTTCAACCTTCAACTTGAAGTCCCAATTATAATATTTCGATAAAAATTATTTTTTATATAGTTTGTTATTAAGAAATGGAGGTACCTTACAGCACTTTGAAATTTCGCTTGGGTCGAAAACGACCCATGAGTCGGGATTAAGGGTTAATTTTAGATACATAATATTTTAACATGCCATGATTATTTGGAATACAAAATGTTCGCTTCAATTCTTTTTAAGTTTGTAGAACATAACGGACAAATAATACAGATAAGCTACAAAGAAAAAGAGTTTTTCCCTAAAAGAAGATACGAAGGTCGTTATGGGACTCGAAGGATCTTTTTCTTATCAGGCCTAGTTACAACATTGAATCGCGGTTGATAGGTCTGGCATTTACACGCGTCCGAGCATTAACGTCCTATAGCATGAGCAGCAATGGCGACGGGAAGAGAAGGCCGCGAGCAAAAGGTCGCCGATGCTGGTTTCACTCAAGCGCGTTACGAACAAACTCTCACGCAACGCTATCGCAATTGGAATTCCGCGCAATGCCACGATAATAAGCGTGGGTTTCGTTGTCCATGCCTACGATATGGTTCAATACCGAGAAGCAAACTTAGGTAGTTCTTTTATACAAAGTCTACTTTATCGAGCACATCCCGCCGCGTTGCAATGCGGTGGGTCTGTATTCTTTTGTGTTATTTGACACTTCCTGCCATTAAAAGAATTTGGAATACCAAGGGGTTTCCAAATATCTGAGATATCCTAAATGTCCAACTATCTTAAGTATCTCTAGGGACTTGTTTCCCAACGTTTCTGATTTGGAAACGTTAGATTTCGGTTATGCTCTAAAAGGATCCGCAGGATTAATTTAAGAAAAATAGACTGCTTAGGAGATTACTTCAGGAATAAGCAATTTGTCTGCAATCAGCTACTGCAATTTGCATGAAAAACTTTATTAAATAACTTTATTAAATTTTATCACGTGTATTGTTGATTGGATCATGTTAAATGGTTTTTCCGAAATTTATCTCGTCATCAGAAATATACAGTTATTAGGGTTACGCAGTTTAGATGATATACAATCAAATAATGATTTTTAAAAGATGTTTTTTATAACTATACCACATATTTACAAATTCTATACTACAGATTTAACCACAGAAAATTACATTTGTTGTAAGCACAGAAAATTACATTTTAAACTCTTGATCATAAAATTCTAATCACAAAATATAATTTAATATTAATGTGATATAGAATGAAAATAAATTCATATTATTTAATTTTTAAATTTTTACTTATTAAAAAAGATTTACAACATTGTAAAATATTTAATGTATAATGAATTTTATAATAATAATAATAATTTATTGCAAAGAATTTTTTTATTGTGTAAAAGATATTCGACTTTTGTGTGGTATCTGTGAACCGTGTGAAATGCTGCTGCGAACATTATCGCGTGCATTCCTTTCAAATGCATCATTATTCACCGTCACACTTCCTGGAAAAACTTACAATAGTCGTTATAGTTTTACTGCATCAATTGCAATTTACCTGCGTATCATTATGTAAAATTATTACTGTATATGAATAAATATGCTTGAACGGAGCAGCTAACATGCAGTTATATGTTACAGGATTCATTCATGGTGAAGTAACCAGGCAAAATTTTAGCATATTAGAAGTACACATTTTATGAATGAACTTATATCTACGGGACAGAACATATGAGACTGTACACGACGGATCTTAAAGTGGATGGAATGTGGACGGAATGTGGAGTCAAATCATTCCGGTTCAGGTTCAGACGCATACTATGAATCGTTCGGCAAGTCCTTTTCTTTGAAAAATACCGGAGGTCCGGCGCCACTTTTTCACAGCAATTTATCAAACAGCAGGACGTTTGAAAAGGTACTATCTGATCCGAAATTTTATAGTTATTACACGGTTTCAAAAAAATGGAATTCCATAAAGTAAAAAATATATGCACCTATGCGGATGAATTTAGAAACAAAATGAATAAAATGCAATTTATTTATATTTAATGAGATGTAACTATTTAGATTATCAACAGTTTGTTATTTATAAATTCTTTATTTCAAGTACCAAATCATCAGATATATAGTTCACATTACTTACATTTTTTAAATAAATCAGTAATAGTCGACGAATTAGTCATATTTGGAAAAATATATTAAATTTAATTGTAGATAAAAACTATATGCGATAAGAATATTGTGACGAATATTGCACCTTTCTATGAGCTTTTCTGGAAAATACACATAATTTACAAAACGAGAATTAACAATTGAGTAAATATGAAGCCAATATTAATACTTGTAAAGTGGAATGTAAGAAAAAAATAATTGCTCGTTCAAAAACAAACAAAAAAATTTATTACAAAACATTTCAAAGGGAAATGCTCATTAGCATATGTTCATATAAATCATATCTAACAGAAAGTAGTAGAAAGTAAAATTATATAATTTTTTATACTTATGCCCCTTATGTGCATACACGTAAATTGGATTGATATAACAGCAATTTATGAAGTACAAAAAACTTTATTTCACTTACATAAAAAATATTACAATCTTTTTCATTTTCGTTACTTATCGCTCTTCTGCGTACTTAAAGCGTTTTGGTATCCGTTTACAAAACTCAGCACAAGGTTAGTGCATCATCATTGTGTCACATTGCATTAATAAATGATGATATCATATAAGTAGGAATAAATTATCTTGTTTGGACGGATGTAGTGTAGTATTATAATTGAAACATAATTAAACGGTCGATATATATGTTTTGTCTTTCGTTAATGCCATCGAGTTTTTTTTAAACAAAAAAAATGTGAATTTTTTTAAACTTTTCTATATAAAATTTTATATTACAATACGAAGAATTTTTTCGGTCTGTATTAAAAAATCTCTGATATATTTATAATAAATATTTTACGGACTTAATATCTATTTTAATAATTCTGTAAAACGGTTAGTTCTTATTTATCGTAAAATCTTTATATAATACAAATCACACACATCTTATCTAATCACTATGATCAGGCATATATAATGAAACATCACATATGCAGAATTTCTGTTTCTTCTAACGATTCTTAAATAAAAAATAATTGATGAAATTTTCGATAAAAAATAAGAAGTTTTATCAGATATTTTATCACAAAACTTTAACTAACTTACGAAATGTGCATATAAATTATTTTAAAATTGTAAAAGAAAGTCATAAAATATTGAAGGTTTTTTTGTATTCAAAAGCGTTATAATATACATTGTACATATTCATATAAAATGCATTAAATACTTTGTTTTTATTTATCGCTACAAGGAATTCTGTATGTATGTAATCATAATGGTATGAATAAAATTAATGTCTGAATGATTATAAGTTTTACGGCAAATATAAATTATTTTTTTTTAGATTTTTTGTACGATTTATTAAATTATTAAATTATTTATTTGGTACTAGAAGTCTTTCTTTGTTTCTTAATTTAAGTTATCTTTATTTTGGTTTTTCAAGCAAAAAATAAATAAACTGCATTTTAAACACCTAGTACATCAATATTACGTAATCGTAAAATTGTAACACATGGATTTGTCAATTTACATAAAGGAACTAATATTAGAAAATATACTCTCTAAATTTCTTGGAGTGAAATCTCACTCTTTTGGAATGAAAAGTCACTCCAAGTAATGACGAAAATACTGCCAGTCGAAGTGGAGTGAAATTTCATTTTTCGAAAAAGTGAAATCGGGACGTCTGAAAACGTCATTTTTGACATCTTTTCGACATGATGTCTACGTATTTAAGATGTCTTATGTCTCGACATAAGTATCTTAAAGATTTTGGACATGCGTGTTGTCTGGGATTTTGTTAATGTTTTCGATAGAAATTAACTACTTTCCCAATTACTTCCCGATTATGGGATAATTACTATTTCGAACTACGTACAAAATACAGAACGTACAGAACCTCCCCCGGTTCTGACATTACCAACGAGAAGGCGATTTCACTTTAAGTTGGAATGAAGTTTGGAGCGCTAACACCACATGGAGTGAACTGGTCAGAGACTCCATGATTAGAATAAAAACTTCACTCCAAAAAATTTAGAGAGTAATATATGAAAATAATAATAAATATGGAAAATATTTTATTAATTATTATAAATATTTATAAATAAATTTAAGAAAATTTAATAAATAAAATTTGTTATGAATTGATGCGGACAACTTATCAGAAATAATCTTCAATTAGGACTTTAATTAAAGTATTCAAATATATAAAATTTTCTTAAATTTATTCATTATTCTCATCTAATGTTAATTTTTATTATGGAAATTATATAGTTATTATATAGTTATTACATATATTAACGTAAATATACGTTATTTATTATAATACTGATGATACACCGGTAGTACTGATGGATAAATAAAATATTTTCCATATGCGTTCGGCGAAAACCTGAATATTTAGTGCATATTTATTAAACATTAAAATATCATTTCATAATCTATATTTATATATATGACTAAGAATTTTATAATGAAAACTGACCATCATAATATAATGTACGTGAATATCTACAAACTGATACGTTATAATGAGTCATGTCATTAAACGTCATTTAAAAAACTAAACGTCTATTAACCGCTCCGGAGTATACCGGAGTGTACGTCAAAATATATCAATGTTATTACGGTTAAGACTAATACAATAGAACGATCCATTTAGCATAGACTCGACTTGCATAGATTGTCATTCGTACGATGATTATAAGCTATAGATGTGTTCTTCTATTGTAATAATAGAGGCTTGTTACCAAGCTTGGTTAGATTTGGCTTGGTTAGAGAAAATTTTTGGACGGGTCAGTTATGATATCTATGTTTAAATACTGAAGATTACGATGAATCAGAAGTTTTTGATTCGCGCAATGAGTCCGTTTCTGTTTTCGCTTCAGGTACACATTGGTCGTCATTTTTTGTCGATTGTCTCTTTGTTTGTACCTTTTTGGATTTTATAAATGGGCACTCAGAAGCCCATTTGTTGTGTTCATTTATCGGATTATCCGATGGCTCCCAATTTATCAGACCTATTCCACAATAGTAACAAAATGTTCGATCAGAAACTCCGGAGTAAAAAAAACCAGCAGCCGCCATGTCCTCCTTCTTTTGAGATTTTTCTTTAGGCCATGATTGAAAGGATTGTAATCTTTCCGTGTAGGAAGTGTACTTAGGATACTCAACACCTATTATATCATTGACCTCAACTGTACTCTTGGTGTCCGATTTCGCGTCGAAAAAAACATCAATCTTGGTATCAGGATTCTTTCCGGGGAAGTTCGTATTAGAACTCATCTTACTTCCTTCTTCTGTATTTAGGTTATTTTCCGGACCGGAATTAGGCTTGTATGTCAAACCGTAGAGTCCGCATATATCCTTCCCCCTACTGTATGATGGAATTGTTTTAGGATCAACGCCAATCGGTACATTTCCACAAGGGATGTTGCGGACGAAACGGCATCTTGCGGACCACCGTTGATGTTCCGTCATAGGATTGTCACCTTGCTGCCATCCGCTTAAAAAATATTTGCATTCGAAACATTTCACTGTATCTTTTTCACCGGTGTAATAAAATCCAGCAGCCGCGAGTTTCTTTGGTTCCATAAACGGCACGGTCCAATTGAAAAAACTGCCCACTCTTGCGATCTCGAATCGGTAATCAGTGTAATCTACTACGTCAGACGTCATTGACTTTGGTGAATGCGATAGATGATTTAAATTCCCTCTTAAATCTTCGTATCTGGAATAATCAACTGCGGTCATTCTTCCTTTTATTTTTCTGAGGGATGTTTGAAGGAAAGTTGAAATCTGAAAAAAGGAGATAAACAAAATTTATTTAAAAATTATTCCCATATAATTTTTTCGAATGCACTTGAATAATAATGGCAAATATAAATATTTATGCTTGAGGTATACATAAAAAAACATAAAAAATTTCAAGATTAAATTTAATATAAATTAAACAAAAAGAATCACATAGTCCAGTGATCCATTTAATAAATACGAAGAATCCAAATTTTTCTAACGCCCATGACTCATTGTGGGGACCTTATATTGGGGACCTTCAACATTCTATTATCTACGAACTTTAATATGCGATACTTTTCAAATAGTAGAGATATTTATTTCTATGCAGGTAAAAAGTGTATCTGGAAATTCCTAATCGTTCAGAAATTCTGGAATTCGAGATTTGTCATGAAGTGGAAATTTATGAATAGTGGTGCAACGTGGTTATCCGTCTGCTATTCGCATACAAGCACGCGCGTAGAATAGATCTATCTACCTACCCTGAGAGATGCTTTAGAAAATAATTTCGATCTGTCTCTTTCTTTCGCGATTTTTTAATACGAAAAGCGTGTCCTACAGATGTGCCACACACTATATAATAACACTGTTCCGCTGTGACCTGCAATATTACGGTCGATATATCATACAAATTTCTTGCTCGGGATATGTTACCTAAATTTGTAAAATATTAATTATTCAAAATAATATACAAACAAATAATTAAATGTGAAATAAGTATACAAATACAAAAGCTATTTTTCTTCCCGTCAACACTTATGTGATTTTATATTTTTAGTTCACAGTTATTGTTTTCGAACGCGAACAATAACTGTTGCTGAAGCAACAGTAATAATTAATTTCAATCGCACAGTAAGACATGCACTTTCCTACTGACACTGAAATCTCTAACATTTCTATAAAATGTACTATTCCCCTTCCTGAATGTGAGGATTCTAATAATTACGGAAATCAGAAGAATTACGTCAGTATTTTCGTGCGTCATAAATATATCAGGAAATAAATAATATTAAGCGCTGTTGTGTAATATACATGGAATTATATATAATATCTATTAATCGATTAATGGCAATGTTTCTTGATTCTTATGCAATATGATGTAATTTGGCGTAGGAGAAAAAGAATTGTGAGTTTATCAATTCATAAAATTCAATTTTACTGAAGCTTTACATATATTTGAAGAAATTTAATAGACTGACACACACATGTGATAAAATGTTAAAATTGGTAAAACATAAAATTTAAAAAAATTATAAATTTTTTGAAAAATAAATTTTAATAAAAATAGAATTCTATTCAAAAAATATTTTTTTCCATTTTGGAAAAGATTTTACTTTTTAACATTTAAAAAATTTGGCAGAAACTTGATAAAAGCATTATTGTAACCAAATCAATAGACAACTACTCAAAAACATCTCATTAGTATGCTTGCGCAATTTTTTAAGGACAATGGGCTGTATTCATAGTCCGTTCTTATATTCAAAATCGTCTTAAGCACCGACTTATATTCGCTCTCTTCGTCACACATAGATTGTGTCACTATTGTGGTTCAATATTATTGCATTATTAATTATAGATTAGTAATTTTACGATAAAGCTTAATGAACGATATTTTACATTGTATGAAACTTTTGTCAGTATTTAAAGCTCCTAAAAAAAGATATTAAAAATAATCGTTAAGATAAGATACAGTATCGCTCGAATCTGTTACTATCCACAATAGCATTCTATATACAATTGTTATTCCACAATTTTTAATAATTAAAACATTGATAAAGGTTTCTATGGAAAAATTTTAAACTGACATTCCCCAGATTAGTTCACAACCCCCAGATTATATCCCCATTCGACGGGTTCTTTGGGTCGATAAGCAAAGCCAGCTGACGAATAATGACATCAATAGCATGAATGATATTCTTTCGAAGCCTCGCATCTGCTTCCCTTCGTGGAAATGCTAGATAATAATGATTACGGTTCTAAGAACGATCTCAAAGTACAACGGAAGTCTGAGACAGTCGGTGAAAGAGTAAAAAAAGAGAGTAGAAGAGAAAGAGACAGAGAGAAAGAGAAAGAGACAAATGTAGATTACGACGAGCGGAATGAAAGAGGAGAGGGTTTCATGTGCCAAGCCGTGCCTTTGTACGAAAGAGAAAGAGCGAAATACGCCATCATGCGTCACGCACGGTGCCATGCATGTTTTCTATATTATTTACATCCTCCTGCTACCTTCCTGTTTCACCATCAAAGCGAAAATCAAAAATAAAACAAACAGTGTGGTCGCGCAGCACAAAGAGATAAAGAAAGAGAGAGAAAGAGAAAAATGTGTGTAGTATATATATTGCGATCTTTCGCAAGAATTTGCGACAGATAACAGTGATAAAGCGACGATAACAGGGGAGAAAGAGGGGAGTGCAATCTTATATCTTCCCCGTAATTTTGTCTGCGCAGGACATATCACTGATAAGGCTGATATCGGCTTACCAACTCCTGTCACAGATGTTTCGCCTATGTGAGTTCAGCCGCAGATAACCCTCGAGACTTGACACGTTTTGATCGACTATTATCGATGGTATAAAACCGAAGTTGTTCTTCCTGTCGATTGATAAGAATTATAGCTGATTAGCGCACGAGGTCACTCGCGCAAAAGCGCTCGTTTCACTTTGGGTTATGACACTCAGGTTCATCAACGTTAGCTCGTTCCGTTCGCTTCACTCGCTTGTGAAGCTCTGCGGCAGTCTCTGCTTTGGCTTTCTATTGTAACGTATCACAAGATAACGATCGGACTGCTTAAGTGACCGTTGTAATATGAAAAAGGGTGTTTTTAGGCATTGCTTGATATAAGCAAGGGAGAAAAAAGGCGTCTATAAAGACCTGAAAAATAATCAGGAATCTCTTATTCATGAATTATACATGAGTCGAACCATATACATACATTCACCATACGCACACACACAATTATGTTGAACCATAGAGAAGGGGATGGTCCTGAGGCAGATGTGAATCAGAGGGTTGATCAGTGAATAATCATTATACAAAAAAAAATGGCGCGAACGGCTACTACTTTTAAATTTAAAAATTTATCTAATTTTTGAAACGTTTAACAAATTATAAGCAATAATTGCAAAATACGATCTTTTTACTTATAAAGCTTATACATAGCTGATTTTGTTTTTACAAAAACTGTAATTTAAAGCTTTATTAATTATAGATTAAAATTAATTAAAAATTAAAAATTGGTTAACAAATTTAACAGTAATCACAGAAATTGAATGATGTTGAGAAATGTAACCAGAAACTACCGATTAGATTAGTGCGATCAAATATCTTGTTATCGGAGTATTATTTGAGTCAGTATAATTAAATGCTGCGGAATGTGCTTGATAAAATTTTATGTTCAGTAAATCACGTTGTGTTTCACGAATCAAAGAATGACTCAAAAAAAAAATATTATTTATTGTTAATATATAGAAATTATATATTATTTTAGAATGCGCGTGCACACACGACATCGCTTTTGCAAATAAATTTTTACCTTATAATACTGTTTGTGATCGTAAACTGGGCATAAAGTACTTTTAATACATTACGTAACTCATTTATAACTGCCGGATTTTTTATTTTATAAATATTACATATATCACATTTATATTATTTTGTATTAGATAAAATATGCGCAAAGATATTAAATTATTTGCAAGTTAGATTTTTTCGAAATTTAAGAAGATGATTTTGAAGTTCACTGTAAAGCCTAAAAATTAATATGTATATCTGTGTACATTATTTATGATGCTATTTGATAAATTACCTTTGTGATATTGGTACTTACTCTTAAAAGTAACACTGAGATATCTACAACATTGAACATTTCATCTCTATATAACATCTTGTGCACGAGATACACGATAATTTTACATAGACTTTATCACGTGCGGTGGGGATATATCAGTGAAGAGATTATAGGTATGTTCTTTATAGCTGAACTAGTACAGCCAGTTCAGCTATAAAGAACAGACCTTACGTCTCCGTTGTACATGTTCTGATGAACTTGTTTCGAATAATATAAAATCCAACAAAAACCTAGCAAAAAATAATCTATATACACACTATATAACTTATAATATATAATTTATATTATCATATAGTTATAATTATCAAAAAAATATTTGTCCGCTAATACTTTGTGGTTTGACCCAATTACATTTTTCATTATAACTTTATTTGCTTTTACAAAGATATTAAAAATATACTGCAGATCTATCTCTGATCTAATAACCAATAAAGCATTTTGCTATACCAACAATGATGACAGCATTTATCTATATAAAAATTTTTGATAGTGCAAAATAGATATTGATATCATTATATAGATAACTATTGTAGAACAATTGCATCAAAGTCAATGTTCTCAACTGCATTCTTTTATCATCAAGTTTCCAAAGACTTAATTGTTTTAATACAACACTATTCTTTTTTCTTAGAGTATACTAATTGTATCATCAGATTAAGACCTGCCTTAATGCTTGGTTCATGTTGAAACGTTACAAACTGCCAAATTATAAAAACAAGTAACTAAGCTTACTCTATATATTTTGACAAATAAATTATTTATAATCTATATAATATTTTTAGCATCTGTAAAGAATGTATGGATGTTATATATTCTATTTTAACTGTTCCATATAGCACTATTATATAGTTCTAATTTAATTCTTCCACAAAGCACTATAATTAAATATATATACGTAATTATTATATTTCTGCCATTTTTTGGTATTATTTACAATATATAAATATTGTCATTGATAAAATAAAAGCAATATTTCTACTAATATAAACATATTTTCAAACATAACAGTAACATTGTCATATTTTAATTAAATTATCACATAAGAGATATATCTATTGAAGTATATTACTATATAATATCAATTTGTTGTAGTTTCCGAACTAAAAAAATATTCAGAAAATATATACATAATAAATACTTTATATAAAATGCAGCAACTTTAAATAGAAAAACAAGTCTTTGATGTGATTTCTGAATTAGAGTTATCTTATCATGTTCTTTCGAAAATCTATTTTATATTTATAATTTGATTTAAGATAAAAAAATGCGGATACAACCACGAATCCTTTGTCTACACATAGGGCAATTCGTGAGAATAGGTGCACAATTAGAGCATGTTGCTAAATGTCCACAAGGTAAAAATACTATAGCTAGTGCACAATCCATACAAATTTTGCATAAACGATCTTCTTTCAATTTTCTGTTTTCCTCTTCTAAAAATGCTGAAAAAAAATAATGCGAGCTATTTTTAATATATATATGCGTGTCTCTTTCTCGACAATTAGATTATGTATGCATATGATGTTGAGTGCATATGAAATATAACTTTCAAACAAAAGAAAATTGTATTGAGATCTGCTGTCAGTTAATCTCAGTGACAAATTTGTATTGATAAAGTTCAAAGGTTCATTTTAGGCTGTAATATTTCATATAATAAAAATAAAACAAATTTGAAGAAAAATGACATGTGATTGGCTTCGTAAATCATATATAATACTAAATCATAATATATAGCATTATCTATATATTACTCACTGATATCTGATTTATTATCCATTTCCTTCTTCTTGAGTTGGCTTTTCAACAATGCATCAGATTCTGGTGTATTTTTACTTGTGGAAATATCAGCCATTTCTGTTACAAGTTGATTCAATAAATAAATTAATTCCGGAGAATTACTATCAAACCTAAAGAGAAAAATGCATTTCTTAATGACTCAATGATTCAATTTTCAATTATATATAATACACATCATGCTGTGATAAAATACTTAGTGTTTTCCACGGTTTGATCAGCTAGAACATCTTCTATGAATTGTTCAACGTTCATATAAGGTTCACCAAGCTCCTGCCGTCTCTTTAGAGTTTCTTTTACTCTACTAATGAGTACTGTATTTAATACAGTTTCAATTTCATTCTATATTGAAAAAAATGTAAATTAATTATATTTATATAATTATAAAATTGATATATGTATATAATATATAGGTTACATTAAAATCACCGATAAATATTTTATATTGTTTTTATCGACACTGAGAATAGATACTTTTCATTAAATTCTAGTGTTGATGAAATAAATTAAAACATTGTTGAGACGAAATCTTTGTTGGTGATTTAAAATGTAATCTATTATTACATATATAAAGTTAATTAAATCATTACTTGCCGTTGTTAAATCAGTATGTGTTAGCCTTTCAGTTAATGTATCTGGCTCGCTAAATTGTAAAACTGATACCTTTGTACTTGTTGTTGGTACATTAAGTGAAACTGGATTTATGGTGTTAACTTCTGTAGAATCTGATCCCATACAACTAGCAATCTGCATATTACATTTCAGTATTATAAACATATATAAATTAGAATAATTGATATATATATATATATATGTATGATTAAATTGTATCGTATAAAATTGCCAATATTCAACCTGTCGATACATATACACATTTTTTATTATATATATCGATTTTTTTCAGAAATTAGCTTTTTAATTTTGACTTACAAAACAGCAATTTTATATGGTACGAATATAATACTTAATAAATTGAAAAGATTTGAATTTATGAATTACCAGAGTATGTAAAGGTGTCCTACTATCTACGCAACGTTTGACGAATTGAGATCCCTGTACAAGATTTACAAAGCCACAATATGAGAACCATTGTGCATGTTCCTTCCATACATTATCTTCTTGTTTCCATCTATTTAACCCTCCACCGCAATAAAAACATCTAACAAAGTCCTCGGGTCCTATAGCAAATGCACAATAAAATTAGCTACTAGAGTAAACATTTCATTAAACAATATTTTGATATGCACTTAAAAAAGAAATGAAGATAAGACTGACCAACATAATAGAATCCAGCCTCAGCTAACATCTCTGGAGTTTGCTTAACCTCATTCGGCCAATCTGTAAAAGTCTGTAATCTTCTTTCATGTAATGCATATTGTGGATACTTAGGTGGCGCATATCTTGATGAGCCTGATAAATTTTTGATTTCTGATTTAACCACCTCTGCTAAAATAAAATTACAATCGCAATAAAAATATGTTCTAAATCTAATACATTCAACTACAGTAAAATTTGTAATTATGTTTTTTAAAAATGTCTTTAAAGATTTGTAAACATTTGTGATTTTTTAAGTATTATTAAAATAGTAATACCATTTTCTGTATCATCCTTTTCTTGTTTTTGTTTCAGAAAATCACAATGTGGGAAGTATAACTTATGTTCACTTTCTGGATCATCACCTGGTTTCCAATTCATGAAGACACCTTTGCAATATAGACATTCCACCTGTTATTTGTACAAAATAATAGTATGTAATAATGAATTACTATTAAATAATGTAGTAGAAACTTTTTTTAAATAATATTTCTATATGAGGGTAGCTCAAAGCAGATAATAAATTTTTATAGCAGCATCAATATCTATCAAAACTTACCATATCTTTATGTTGCAGATAGTAAAATCCTGCTGAAGCCAATTGTTGTGGAGAGATGATAGATGTTAAGGGCCAATTTTCAAACGTCTGTAGTCTTTGCTGAAAAGTAAGGTACTTTTTTTGAAGCTCCTTCTGACTACTTGTAGTACACGACATTGTTGCATTTTCTCTATCCATGACTTGGTTGACACACGTGTTGAGTTCCGATAAACTTGATTCCGATATCAATTTTTCCTTATCCTTAATTGACGTTGCACGTGTTGTATGGATCAAAAAGATAATTAGGTGATTGCAGATTATGACAAAATATAGTTTGACAAGAAGTCGGCTAGTAGGTACATACAATAAAATTCAGCTTTTGCGAGAAACGTCATATTGAACGTACACAATAGGTCTGTTCTTTATGGCTGAACTGGCTGCACTAGTTCAGAGTTTATCTTTCTCTTTCCAATGTGGAGGGAAAAAGATAAACTATGAACTAGTGCAGTCAGTTCAGCTATAAAGAACAAACCTTATGGCCGTATTCCGAATTCACCGCTAGTACTGAAAATCTATATTTTACGTTACGTATATTATAGATTTTCAGTACTGGTAGTGAATTTCGGAACGCAGCCAATGGCTGCGTTTAAAAAACACAACAGTTGTAAAACTGTTTAGTAATAATCGCTTGTGATTGGTGCAATTAGTCCATAAGTATGCAGCCAGAGAGAAATCTGAGAGGGGCCGCGCTGCTGTTTTTCGTACGACGTTTTTACTAGGCTAGAGACCCTAAAGAGTCTTTTTCTTTTAGGGTCTCTAGCCTAGAGAAAGCGTCGTACGAAAAACGACGACATGGTTTCTCTCAGGTTTCTCTCTGGTTCTAAGCTCCAATCTATAGTATTACTTCACGTATACTATAGATTGGAGCGTATTGGAGCATGTTGGGGCATATGACGCGAACAAACCTTTATGGAATGATTTTACAACGACAGTGTTTTCTCAACGCAGTCAATGTAAATTCTCCATAAAATGTCATGTGTTGGGCATGCGCAATAAACATATGATTTTTTTGAAAAATTTGTGGTTACTTTTTATCATAAATTTACCACATTTATGCCTTTTTTAATAAACATGTAAAATATACTTTATAATAAAAATAAATAAAAATATTATTCTTAAACAGAAAGTAATAGAGATATATATTAAAAATAGAGACATATCTTTTTGAAAAATGTACAGATATGCCAAGTGATATTTACATATGTGCGGAGCAAAGGTTAAATTCTCGTATCATTACGGCACCATTTTGCGCCGATAGTATACTCACAGTGATCGCACAGTAGTACAGTTCTTTTTTTTTTAGTAAAAAGTATTACTTGTTATTTATTAATTATGGCAATGATAATGAGATTAACTAAGGTGAGTTATTATTAATTAATTATCATAGTTATATCTCTTTGATTAGTCTTTTGAAACATGATTATGATTATGACATATTGTACTATATATTTTATATATTTAACTAATTTTTGCATAATAATAATAATAAAAATATTGATAAGATTGTTTAATTTTTACTATTAGGTTTTACTATTCATTAATCGAATATGTGTTATATTTTTATATGTATAGTATTTTTAGATGTGATAGTTATGAGATATATTGTGTAGTTTTGTTTATTCACGTTCATTATTTTTAATTTTATGAACACAAACAATTAAAGTCTGCTTTAAACTATTAAGTAATTTAGAAAACAGTATAACATATGTCTGAATTTGAGAATATATTATCATTATTTTAAATTATTGTGTGCAAACAACTTATCAATTTATAATCACAGCACATAAGATAGAGTACAAAATAGAATACAAAATAGAATATCAAAATTTTTAACAATAGAGTGTAGTTTATGGAGAACAAGGAATATTTTAATATAAGACCAACATTTTTAGATGAATATCATGAACAGGCGTTTATATAGTTCCAAAGTCAAATTGAACGATGTCGTAATTGTCAGTGCTGTGCGAACTCCAATGGGTTCATTTCTTGGTTCCTTATCAAGCATATCAGCTACCAAACTTGGCGCCGTAGCTGTCCAAGTAAGAGTTTGACAAGAACACTGTTATTAATACTTAATTATATTGAACACTGAATGTTATAACTAATGATTATGTTATTGTCCTAGGCAGCTGTTGAAAGAGCTAGTATTGCCAAAGAACAGGTTAAAGAAGTATATCTGGGCAATGTTTGTCAAGGTTTCTTAGGTCAAGCACCAGCAAGACAGGCTGCATTATTTTCAGGTCTTGTAAATTTTCTATCTATATTTAATAAATTTTACAATAATAATAAGAGAGTAATTTTTTTAAACAAAAAATGTTCTTGTATTAATAAAACATTGACAAAATAATGTAAATAAAATATGACACTTATCATAATTTAGAGTTAATTATAGATTTTGATAAAATTATCATGTGTTATGTCATTTGTCATTAGGTCTTCCAAAATCAACAATATGTACTACAGTAAACAAAGTCTGTGCAAGTGGTATGAAAAGTGTTATGCTGGCTTCTCAATCCTTGCAATGTGGCCATCAAGAAATTGTTTTAGCTGGTGGCATGGAATCTATGTCTAATGTACCATATTATTTAGCACGTGGTGAAACATCATACGGTGGAGTAAAACTTGAGGTTTTTATGTAATATACTTTATTTTGTGAATATTTCATAGTAATGTATATGTTATGGACAAAGTGATGAATAAGGCATTATGCATAATGCCCAAGACCAGTCGGGCAGAGTGATAAATATTTGTTAATTTATCGCTTTAACCAGGCAATATAAATAAAAATGAATATATAACATATATACATATATATATACATTTTTACTCATAAGTAATTAATATTTTTAATATTATGATTTGACAGGATGGTATCGTATTTGATGGATTGACTGATGTTTATAATAAATGTCACATGGGTAACTGTGCTGAA